CATGCACCCAGGTATTCGAGAAACCATCAAGCTCATAGCGGAACAATTTAATTAGTCCTAGATAAATAATAATAATAATAATAATATATATTTCTGCATGTGCAGGTACACACCGTTTTTACAGGCATGATCTATAAATTACAACATTTGTTGGTTCACTGAATGTTTTCCAACTTATTAAGTTTATAGCTGTTATAAGGTGAAATCGTAGAGCGCTTGCTGTAAACTATGACCTTGGGAGGACGCGTACATCAAGTTTGTTCCAAACGTCAGAAGTTTCATAGCCGTGCTCTCAGAGCAAGATTCTGAAGAAAAAAGAGAAACAGAAGAGCAGCAAGGCACTTGGATATGAACGCAAAACGTTGCTTAACATAGTGTAGTAGAACGGACAGAGGTATAATAAATCAGAATAAATTCATATTATGTCTTGTTAGTGAAATGAAGTCAAAGGCTCCATATTATAGAGTGTACTAATAAAGAACAGTGAGTTGTGATGTTTAACAAGTTGGAGTAAGCTCACATGAAGGAAAGGAAGTCAAGGCTGTTACTAGGAAAGCGGTTTATAAGAAGGGTGTGTATATAGAGGGTGAAGTGTTAAGAATATTAATGATTACATCTTTTATTGTTTAACTTTTTTTTCATTTTTTGTTTTTCCGATGCCAGCCACACAATCCTAGTGTAAAAATCCGAGTTAGCATGTTATGGGTTGTCTTAGTAGAATAGCTAATCCAGCATAATATTGGAAACATGAGTTTGAGTGGTGAGCGTAGGAAAACAATCTATATCACAGATTGATTGAATTATTCTCAGTCATGAGGAGCCTGATACATACAAAATGTTCTGTCCCCACAAACATGGGTGGATTGAAGTTATCGCCCTCACCATCAATGCTTGCTGGTCAGCAACTCCACCCTCCCTCCTTTTGTGATGTTAGGCTCATTTAGCATTATTTTTGTATATACGTCATACCTCGCACAATCCTCTGTTTCACAAACTGTTGGAAAGCACTATTTCTATAAGTACCATTTTACAAGCTTATCAGACAGTTACAAGCTATGGACTGTGGGTAAAGCATCGATGCAGTGCCTCTGTTGACTATAGTATAAAGTATAGTTTGCCAATCAGAGTATAAGCGTTAAGAAGGGTATATTGTAGGATAGTTGTTTATTTAAGCAGGCGGAAAAAGTATAGAAGTATATGAGTTGTGGATATGAGAACGAGTGGAGAAATAATACTAATTGCTAGTCAACATAGTGTACTGAAGAGTAAAAAGTTAATACAGGATAAATAGGAAGGGACTCACAGTGACTTAGTGCTGATGTTATTTTCTGTCGTCCTAACCAGTTGATTGGTAACTGGCTCCATAGATGCAAGACCACTGGAAGTAGGCAGCCGATTGTGCGGTCCTCTTGACGTTTTAGGGTGGTAGTGAGTGTCCCTTATCGACCGAGTTTATTTTAACAGTAATGACAGGTCCATTGAGTTACCTGTCTACTTCAAGTGAAGAAATGGGGTGGAAAAAGTAATTAATACAACTGCAAAGTAGGAAAAATAAGGCAAACTGAACTTGAAGTCCATTTTGGTCTAGACATGGAGAGAGCCTATGATGTCTGAGTGGGGCGCAGATGTGTTCGTACGTGCAAGATTAGTGCAAGTGAGGGCTTGATCAAGCAGTTTTACAAACGTATGTAATTCATCTGCCATGCGAGTTTCGGAGGTAAGACTGTTCCATATTATTGCATACTTGATGAGGAAGAAGTTTTCCCGAGTTTTTGATCTGTATTTCTCAACTTTGACCGTAGATACTTTGTTTCGAAGTCCGTATTCATGTGAATCTCGGGCAAGAATTATCTTACACGTTGAATAAGTAAGGTTTTTGAGTAGTTTGAAGTAGAGAATCAAATTAGACCTAAGCCTTCTCTTCCAAAGGGGTGCTATTCCTAAGATTTGGCATCGGCAACTATAGTCAATGACCAAGTCAGTCTTAAGTACCTTGCGAGTGAAGTCTCGTTGTATTCCTTCCACCTTTAGTATATCAGATACGCGTAGGTTGGAAAATAAGAACGAGCAGTATTCAGCGATAGGTCTTACACAAACTTTGTAAAGAAGGATTTTAGATTCATTTTGATAGAAATTACGGAGAATGAAGCCAAGCAATTTCCGCATTTTGGATGCTTTGGCTGAGATGTGTTCAGAGAAATTAAGACTGTGTGAGTAATGTACCCCTAGGTCAGTTACTGATGCCAGTCTGGGCAGTGTGTGATTGCTAAGTGTTAGTTTCGTTTTGAGAGATGTGTCTCCTATACATAACCAGCCGCATTTCTCTGTGTTGAGCTCTAACCTCCAGCGTTTGCACCAGTCGTTTACCATGTTGAGTTCACGTTGGATTGTTTCCATAGTACTGCGTAAATCGGAAATGTCAGTTTTATAGATGACTTTTAAGTCATCGGCATAGAGGTAGGTCTTACCTGTGCTAAAACACTTGCATATGAAATGAGTGAGTCACACCTTATGGTCATCACTGCTTCACATAGGAGGGAGAGAGTTGTGGCGATGAATGGTTCTCTAAGATTAATAGACTTCACGATTAGTACTGATATAATGATTTCTACTTAACGATCCTCAAGCTGAAAGATGTAAACACAGCACCACATAAAATTAGGATTAGATACACCGTACTACACATTCCTCGCAACAAATCGATCCCTTACACCACATAATTCTCGTGACAATGGTTCCTAAATATATGGGTTTTAGCGTAAGAAATACACTGAAAGTCGCTTCAAAGTACATTCTGGACAGTGTTTTTATTTCTTTCTTCTTCTACCCTGTCTTGTATTTCACTTGTTACTCATATCTCATGCGACCATGTTTTATGTCATTCAGTCTTCTTCCTCTGGACATTTATTGCATGATATGCCTAAATTTTCGCTTTTGCCTGTTGCCAGGCAATAAGGGATTATGTCGTGTTTGACTGAACTCAACGTTATGGCGTGAGTCCTCTGATAAGTGTTTACAGTTAACAGGCTGATGGAAATGGTTTACAGATAAACATTTGATCCCATTTTGTGATATGCTTGTAGCTAAATGTGAGGCTTTCGACTAACGGTGAAATCGTCCTACCAAACGGTTAATTTACAGGTTGTAGGCTTTCTGCTGGTGGCTTGTCCAGTAAAAAGAGTGAGGTCTACAGCAATGCCGGAGACTTTCAAATCTATTCGTTTTAAGGTTTTGCTTGTCAATACGGCACTCACTAGGGACTTCGTCCGAAAAGTCGCATTTATAAAGTTAGTAAACTATTTATTTTTTGAAGTGGAGTAAATTAGGAATGATGGTTAGGGAAGGGGTTGTTGTTTTCGTCCCGTAGAGGATGATCTGGCTAAAACAACATTAACCAGAAATAGGCGTTTGAACTTTTGAACTCTCCTATAGTAGTCAAACTATCTTCATTTAAAAGGTTTACGATGCCACTCTCTGAACTCGAGATTCCTCGAGAATTATGGGGCCAATACCAATTCTGACGTTAAGATAGAAAATAAATGTAGGTAAATGGAATGTTCGCATAATGTGGGGGGGAGGTAGGACTAAGCAAGTAGCTTGAGATATGAAAATATACGACCTGGTCGCTCACGAGAAAATTAAAACCGGTGGAAGGGAAGCTGGAGAGAAAGCATTAGATTAGGAAGTACTGCTGTCGTGTTCTGTTCATGAGGAACAAAACACCTCAAAAACACAATTTGTTGCACTGATGCTGTCAAAAGAGGCATGTAAAGCACTTATATAATGGAACTCGTAACTATATTTCAACTTTCTTGAAGGCATTTGACAACATGGATAACAGAAACTTATAGAACCTTCTTCGACACTACGATGTGACTGAGAAGATCGTCGATGTCATATGCAATCGATGCAACAGACTTAATCGGAAATTCGTGTGTGGAGGGTAGCTGACAGATGCATTCCAAGTGAGGACTGGTATCAAACAAGGTCGTTCGATCCCTACTCTTATCTCCTGGGGGCTAACCGGGTTATGAAGACTTTCGCATTTGAAAGGAATCATGAAACACAATGGACAGCTTGGATGCAACCAGACCTTAACATATACAAGGAGAAAAACACGATTCCCAACTACAACACGGAGAACACCACTCCAGGTGCACTTCATAGAGAAGTTCTGGAAGATGTGGAATCTTCCACATACCTGAGAAACATTATCGATGAGGAAGTAGGATCTGATGTTGGTGTGAAGGCAAGGATTGGCAAAACAAGGTCAGTACTCCTACAGTTGAAAAACATATAAACTAAAAATAACACTTAAGTTAGAATTTTCAATTTGAAAATTGAGATATTCTTATCGTACGGATCTGAAATGCGGAGAACCTTTACAACCATTAACAAAAGTTTACAAACATTTACTAACAGTTTTCTATGCCATGTACTCAGCGTCAATAGGCCGGATATTATCGGCGACAATTCGCTGTCGTAGAAACCAAACCACTCTGCAACTGGAGAGGAAATTAAGAAAAGACACTGGAGGTGGATATGACATACCGTGGAAATCATCGGATTGAACCATAAGACAAGCCCCAACTTAAAAGTCACAGAAACAGGGGAAAAGAGAGAGCCCCAAAACACGTTGCTTCAGGAATTAGAGGCAGGTACTCTGAGAATGAACAGCAGCTGGCGGCAATCAGGAAGGAATGCCAAAGACATATTTTGATTGAGACTACTGGTCTGTCGCCTGTGGTACAAAAAGTATAACAGACGAAAGTAGGGGCTAAAACCACAATCTTTCCTTCATCTAATATTGATCTCCTACTACGACTAAAATATAGATCTAAACGAACAAATAGGTCTTTAATCTCACGTTTTTTTACTTGGTTAGCAATCATTCAAATTCAGCACTAGAACGCCTTATGATAATCAATCATGATAATAACTTAAAAAAGATATTGAATTTATTCGGTATTACCAGATTTAAGATGTAATACAATCTGCATGGACTACATACTGAAAGATGAAGACCTTTCCTCCAAATAACCTTTAAGGCGCTGGAACCAAAATGTGTATTTTAGGTGATGGGTTAATGTGTGGGCTATGGGAACCAGTTTAATTTTCGAGATAAGATGGATCAAGATATATCATACTCAACCACCGTTGAACTTTCGATAGCCTGCAGGTGGGTAGGAAATCATGGGAACTTACGGAACTTTTAGAAATTTGTGCGACACTGGTGTTTTGTCGAAATCCGACCCACGTGTGTTTTTTTCACTCAGATTTAATATTTATTCTAGTTGTTGTTGTGTTTGAAAAGTCATTCCCTGATAATCAATGGGTTGAACTAGATAGGACGGAAATCATACATAACCATTTAAATCCTGATTTCGCTAAGAAGATTGTCATGGAATATCATTTTGAGGAGCAACAACGTTTAAATTTTGTTGTGTTAGTTACCGACTCACTGTTTTAGTAAGATTTTAGATATGATGTCGATTGGAAGTCAGATAAGTTAGAAAAACATGTAAGCACTTTCACACTTGTTAACTATTATAGGATTTTCTTGGCAATTGTGAGACAACTCTTGGTGAAATTGCGTCTTCTGGAAAGATAAGTAAACTTTTAAAGTAAGCTCAAGTTTTGTCTACGTCATTTGTTAAGAAATGGTCCTTCGAGTGATTGTGGGTCAATTATTAGTAAGTAGCTCTTTCATTCTGATCAAAGACGTTTTTAGTTTCTGCAGAGGAAGTTTCTTCTTGTAAAGTAAGCTACTCTTTTCATCTGACTGGTTTTCGGAGGACGAATTGACACTTGACATTTCTGGGAGGATGCTAGATAAAAAAGACATATTTGGATCATCTGATCCTTTCCTCGCATTTTACAGGGTAAATGAAGACAGAAGGTAAGTGATAAATAAAGATTATGATAAACTTAACACACTAGTTTCATTGAGCGAATCGTCCGAATATGCTTTTTTTAAGGAACTACTGAATTTTAAATGGGTTCATTTATTCAGTGGTAACATTTATGTAACACTGAAGTCTGGGCTTGTGTTTGTAAACGTTTAGGGCTATTTGTTAGTGGGAGTCATTATTTTGAAACGGGTTCTAGTAACTCCGAAACGTTTTGGGAGTTTCAGATGCTCCATTGCAGAGCACTGTTTACTACCACTTGTACTTTTGGTGATTTTTATTATCAACCATTTTATGATATAACACTGGGTTGAATAGTGATTTTCTTAACTTTCAGTTTGTTCAGTGATCACTTTGTCGGTAGTCTTAGAAGGTACATAACCATGACTTGAAACGTCCTCAGACAGTTTGAGCCCGAACTAAGTATTGATCCAGCTGGAGTTTTGTTAAGAGTTCTATGCGCAATAGACTTTTTTTTTTCAAAATGGCTGCATCAATAACGAGCATTCATTTTTAAACATCTTTTATTTACCATTCTTGCATTTATTGTCATGATTTACCTTTTTTAAATTGACTCGCGACTACGTGCTCAGCATTTAAGGGTAGACCAATGGTGCGTCCTGATTACTTCACTTGCTGTAGTTGTCCGTCATAGAATGTTTTGTCCTTTCACACTTTAATGTGAAAGTTCTTAGTCATCTAAGCTGCTGATATCACTGTCTTGTTACCTGAGTCGGTTTCACATTTTACTTCGGGTTCTTAAGAGGGATTGTTATGGTGCATCTCAGTTTGGTCTCATAATTTTATGTATCAGGTTTTGTTCCTGGGTCTTTATGTCTGTTTTGTTGGAGATCACTGATTTTCAAATGTTGGTAATTCATAGTAATTTAAGGCGGATAAGTGACTGTAGGTATCATTAGTTATTGTATTTGCTGCGTTGTACCGTCTACATGCTTATGCTATGTGATAGGAATCTAATAATTTTTTTATTAGTTCTTAACTAATCGTATTGTGTTTTAAATGATTTTTTTGACTACCAAAAAGTCGGACAGTCGTTTATAGAACAAAAGTGATAAGAAATACATTGAATCCAAACTGGGAGCAGATGATTATACCATTAAGGCTTTTATGTAATGGCGATCATTACAGGTAGGTTTTTTCTATTTGTTTCGTATTTGTTTACACTACAAATAATAGCTTTATGTCTCTTTCAAGCTGATTCGGCAAACTTATGAAGATTATATCTTTCTGTACCCTCTTCACTGGCACAGTTTAACATTTTGAACCGCGATAGTTTGAATGGTAGATGTAAATCTAACATTGGTCTCTGCTGAGCAAAATCTGGAATTGATACACATTTCCAACTACCAATTACCCTGACATTTAGTGCTGACCGATATAGTAATGTGTTGAGGGAGAATCCACAGATCCCTAGTCCAAACCATGGTGGCAGGTGTGAATTACTCATTTGAAGAGTAATCAATACTCGAACTCAGTAATCAGGAACATCGAGTGTAAGACCATGTTAGAAATACCGCAGGATAAAATTCTAATTATGGCTTCGATAAAGCAGCGCACATAAATGGATGCAGGTACACCCGGCTGAAGTGTCCCAAATAAGACGAAACGTGCGTTTTTAGATTCCACTACTAGCCATCATCCATCTTTGTCTATCGATGAAAAAGGTTTAAATAAACTCACTGTATGATTCTTTAGTTGTGTAGCTTTCATACAATGCCCTGGCCAGACCAAGGGTAAGGAGAGTCAGCTACCCCTCTCGAAATGCTCTCACATGGCCACACGTATACAACCATTGTCAGGAAAGTCCTACTCACTACCTTAACGCGGCGAGGTGTTGTTTACGAAATCGATAGGATGAAAACCGAATGTCCGACACTTTTACCTGGTCGGTAGACACGGAGGATCCACCTAAAGGAGTTGGGAGACCCTGATTCTAAACCACTGGTGCACATGGACTTCATTTCATGTTCATGAATACATATAAAGAGAGATCCGTTACCGAATACAATTAGAAATGGAATTTTTCGAAGACAATTTTAAAATTTATGTACACATATTTACCCAATACTTGGGTTTAAGCCACACCTAGTATGAGGGATACTGATCGATTCACGTAAGCAGCACTTTAGTTGTGACTGGATATAATTCCATTGATGAGGCAAACAGTTTGTTTCATAAAATGAAGTCATCCGGAAAGATAAACCTGCAACAGTCCTTCAACGAAGTTATGCAATCTTAATCTACTCGTTAATTTTTGCTTTGTCTTGTATAATGACACAATCGAATGTTTAAAATAAGGCTATTTGTATACAACGTGATATAAATTTTAGGTAGTGGGATTCTGTTTGTAAGCAATCCTATGACAACACTGAAGAATGACGAAATATCCAATAATTGTAAACACTTTAGATGGTATGCGTAATTATACACCTGTTTTTTGTAAGTTTGGTTTCTTCGTTATCTCGGCTGGAGAACTCATTTCCTAGACTATCACCGCCATCTTTATTCTCGTTTCATCCAACAAATATAATAGATCATATATACCACGTAATGTAACTATCGGAAAAGCTTTCCTCTTATTCTAATATTGAACTGTTTCAGAAATACTCATCTATTATGTGTTCAAATGTTATATAAACATTCAAATGAATCGAGACTACTTCAAATTGTACATAATTCTGCTTTCGATTTATGCAAATAATGCTTTGATTTATCTTCTGACCAACGTTTACTTTGCGCTTACTTATTGTTTTTGTCAATTTTTAGACCACTGGTCATTGCTTGCATTGACTGGAACAGGAGTGGAAGGTAAGCGAACCTATTTACTAACCATATATTAAGCTTCATATAAATAACCCTTTGATAGGACTGGGAATTATGTATGGTCACGCGTAATGAGCATAGCGTAGCTGTAAGATATAGATGTTTTGCTTATCATAGTTTCCACCCTCGATATGTTAAAAAATGGTTTTATATGCCTTGTATACTTAGTACATTAATATTAATAATTTATGGCTCTTATTGCTATTTTATTTGTTTAGTCTTGGTTTATTGTGCGTGTCTAATTTAATGAAAATAATATTAATTCATTTTAGAGAAAGTTTGATTGGCGAAATTACTACATCTGCTAATGAATTGTTAACTATGTTTAATAATGGGGTATATTCACTTGATGTAAGTAATTATCTAGTTGACGGAAATATATTTTTATCAATTTACGTTTGCTACTATGAGATGAATGATAGCAGGAATTTTTATGTTTTGTTTTTAGAGTTTGAATTTTCGTTACAATCAGGGTAATCAGATAATAGGAATGTATTTATTTGTTCTTACTAGTTGTCAAGATGCTAATCTCAAATAAATTAGATCTAAATTTTCTTCGAATGTTATTTTTTTTCTGTTGAAAATTAAGTGACTGGTGAAATCCTATCAATCTTTTTTAAATCTTGAAGTTGGCAATTTTCACTTGACAGTTATGTTTTTACCAGCCAAAGAGTACATTTCAGCCACATGGACTCGAACAATCCCGGAAATCTCATGTCAGTTTGATTCTCATGGCTTTAACACAAGTTAGTTGCGATAAAAAACACACCAGAAACAAGACTGGAAAATAAAATAGAAGATAAATAACACTGTCATCTAAATGGCTAGGATTTATGAGACTAAACACCGAAATTACAGAGTTTCCTAGTTATTTTATTTGGAACAATCCTTGCGGAGGGAGAAGTGGACCCTTGGATCCAGGTCCTAATAACCAGATTTGCCAACTTCATGGACAGAATTACCTGTTGTCGAATCGGCATGAAGTTGCGAAAGTTTATGACGCCAATTTTAAGCGATGCATGTGGCTTCAGATATCAAATTCAATCCCAGCTTGCAAAAGTCAGCCATTCTTTTAAATAGACAACCGATCCAGTTTCGGGATCAGATGTTTATTTCTCCCTCACCTTTTTTGAAACACCGACTATACGAAGACAGTGAGCAAGGGATACGTTTTCACGGCTTTATTTATTCTCTATTCGTCATATGAGTTTAGTTTAAACTGAAGCTTACAAAATATCCAAAGCCGCTTTGCTGTCACTACACGAAATAATTGTGATTATATGATCTCCTGCATGGTTAGCTTTCCACTAAGTCACTACATTTCTTAAACTTAGATCCCTTTACTATTTTCGAAACAGGAAAAACGGAAAAAATCTACAGTCATACTTTGTATTTTAGTACATAACCGATGTAGTTTACGAGATATGTTGTTAAGTCTTCAGGCTACAACTGCTGAAATTTTAGTTACATGTAAGCAGTACATGTTGAAGCACCAAGTGGTCGGGTTTGGTTTTAGTTACATAGTCGTTGAATTAGGTTTTATCGTTTAAATTAAAGAATAATAATTATATCTACCTAGGTCGGCATATTATATTTAAGGATATTCTGTTATGTAAAGTTAAAAAAAGAATAAAACAATTCAAGGCTTTTTGTTATAACCTAAATGAATAATATTAGTAACTGTAGGTCTTTTAAACAAATCATCAACGCTTACTGTACATATGGTAATCTGAACTCTAGATATGCTTCTCCTTTATTTGAGACAAGACTGAGTATTCATTTTCTAATCTTAAACACTGGTTCATCCAAAACATGTCATTTTTACCCAGATGCTCACTAGGATTGTTGGTTAGTAAAATTAAGGTAAATTTACGCTTCTGGGAAGCAGCAGTAATCTCTATTGAATTCTTCAACCTGACCTTGTCCACTTTTGTTATTCTTAGTTCAAACCGTGTAAATCTTCCATTTAGTTACTGTATTTCTAAGCAGTCACCCATCCTCAAAAAAGATATATAATAAGCCATTTGGTACCTCAGTTTTACTAAATTGTTTAGCATTGTTGAGAGAAGAAATTCTAAGGCTTGTAAACTTCTTAGAATAAGGATGTGAGTTATGTAGAAATTATTTGTATGTTGGTAGAGAGTTCATACTTTTCGAAATAATTTCTGATTGTTTTAGTTACACATTAAAAGCTAATTATTCTTAATTCCTGAGCAAATTAATGAGTCAGGTCTCATACATCTAATTCCAGTTAAAAGCCTTTATCTTTTGTTATAGAATAAGCACAACTAAATCATATTGTTGAAACATGGATTTGTTTCAAATATACATTGTTGGTTAAGTTCTTTTCTACCATTAATAATTTCAAATCGTAATTAGCTATTTACTAGGCTGTGAAATTACGTTAATTACCTCTTTCAATATTTAAAGTCAAGTTATAGTAAGAAGAAAAGGCCAACATACAGATACTGTATTAAGCCATATCGAATCATCTATTAATTAAATATAAAGAGATAAATGATCCGTCTATTCTTCCAAATTAAAAAGTCAAATAATAATAAATTAAAATTTGATTAAAGTGCTTTAATAAAATTATAATCTCTTCTTTTGTATGTGTTTAGACGATAAGTTAGTAAATCGCTTGTGATCGTTGTATTTAGAAATAGAATTATTCTCAATTGTTTTAATCATATTGATCTGTTTTCTACCCATATTAAATATTTATTTATTTATTATTATACTATGGGAGTTTTTGTCAGTTAAACTTGTAACATATTCTTTTAAATTTGCCTCATATTTTTTCACTAGCTTATTAATCCGCACAAAGCTAAAAGGCATAAACATTACCAGAATTCTGGAACTGTGAGTTTTGTATACTTTTATTTGTTTAGTGTACAAAATCCTGAAATGTTATATTGTTAATTGTAGTTCTTGATAAACACTGTAAACCTAGTATTCTAATTGATGATCTGAACAACTGGTTTCTTATTCGCTTGACCAAACACAGTAGATTACACGTTTTCAAATATTCCAGACTTTTCAATCCTAACGAGGTGTAAAAAAACGAAAATTACAATCCAAGCTTTTTTTCACAGGGTTCGATAATGTTGAACTAGTGGCTAATTTATTAGAGCATTTTACTCACGATCGAGTTCTGATCTATATTCGATATTGGTACCCGATTAATATCACTAGCCTTCATTTATAAATGTGTGACTAACAGTTGAATGCAGTTGTTTGTGCTTTGTTATCGAGTTAAAGTAAGTTATTAACTGTCATATCACTAAAAACTCATTTTACTAACAAGGAAAAGTATCGGTGACATGTTTCACACATACGCTTTTGTCAACCAAATTAAATTTACTAGTTTTTGTGAGCCCATCAAAGTTATTAGTAATTATCATTCTAGATAGTTGATTTTTATTTTCCTGACATATTGCTTAAAAAATTTCAATATGACAAGTGCTACTATTGTTAATTTTCAAAATATAGGAACGTTGCAGAATAGCTGTCTTTTTACTGGCATTATTAAGAGGTTCTAGCCTTCACCATCTTCAAGACTAACTGTTTTTCTGTACAATCCAAATGATGTTAAAATTTTCCCATAGAGCCGTAAAAAAGGCCGATATTTTGTCCGAAATCCATGGGTCAACAATCTCTTTTATGTAAACGTTCTATTAAAGTTTTTCGAGTCATTTTGAATTTATTTATAAGTTTCGTTCCGTTTAAAGATATTCACACTAATCCACGATCTTGATCAAAACTGTTCTTAACACTTTAGTAACTTTGGTTTGATTCTTTGCCTGTCTCTAGATTATTAAACTCTTGTTCTCAGTATATTGTTTGAAAATAAACAACATCTTTTAATGAGAAAAAGCATAACCTACAAAATATCACTAGTTTAATTCGTTGAACGATCAGAGTGAACTTACATACGATACAAACAATGTCTTATCGATCAATATCTTAAAGACAGATATCAACTAATCGTGGTTAGAAACAGCAGTGTAGTAGGCGAATTCTGATATTATTAAGTAACCTTTATTGTCTGATACCTAAACTTTGCCATGGAAAGTCAGTTTAGCGTAATAAAATGTTGTCTCTATTGTTCATGCTACTGAAAGTTAATCATTTGGTAGTGATATTTACTTCAATAAATTTTACGAAAGTAGAAACATAACAAAAATCAGCCATAGAAATTCTCTGCTGATCAGCTTTTGACAAAACATCCTAAAGAAAATCAACACTTGGCATTTTTACATCACTCGTATAGGGGAGAGCTGCAACCATTGGTTAGAGTAGATGTAGAGATAAATGCGCTTGTTCCGGTTCTTACGAGCAGATCAACAGTTCATATCAGGCAGCTACAGTGTTACTAAACATTTTGAATTCAGTAAGTATTAAACGTATATCTGAGAAGTTATTATAATAATTTAATTGTTTTGAAATTATATCTTAAGGCACCACATTTATAAATATTATAACTGGTTTCTGTACCATTACAGCCGCAACTACATAGTAGATATTTATCGTCGTGTTTGATCACTATTTTCATTAAAGTTACCATTTGTTAATATAACTTTTTCTATTTTATTGATACTAGAAGACAACAGAAGCGTTTATTTTGATTTGAATTGTCCCCACTAATTTCAGTTCACATCAGTAGTGTATTTATTTTTATCTTATGAACGTAGGATATATTTAAATGCAACATCATTAAAATCCTTGAATTTCATTCAGTAATTACTCTTCTTTATATTCTATAATTTTGTTCTTCTGCATACTCTGAAATTATTTGAAACATCATACTACTCTTGTTTATATAATTCATGTAGAAAGAATTCTCATTAGTGGTTTGATTATCTTTACAACTTAATATTTATTTTTATTTCTCTATTTTTCGACAGCTGCATTTGAATTTGGTCAGGATTGAAAAAGTATACAGCTTTCTGGAATATGTTCAAGGAGGGTATGAGTTATGAGTGTTCATTTCTTCCGAAATTAATTACTTTATAATGATAAATATTTATAAAAATCTCGACAATTAAACTTAAAATAGATTCAACGTTTCGCTCAGCAATCTGGTTCGAACTTTTTCTAGGAAATATAATGCAAAAATAAAACAAAATTTCTTCCTTAATGTCTGACGCTAACTTGGCGCACGACTACAGTGAAACTCTGTTCAAATTTACACGAATGTTCTTATAATTATTTATTTCCGACTGTTAAATTCTGTATGTAATGTCAAGTTTAGTTATTGGTCAGTGGTGAAGCTGATTAGAATATCCGTTTTTTAATTCACCTTTATAAGAAGAATTTTTCTGTAGTTTTAAAGAATAGAGGTCCGCTAACATCTTATATTCATTTAAACAATCGTTGTGTTTTTTTCATACGTCTCAACAAAGATTTATATAAGTTATGTCTTCAATCGGGAAAATTACGTTTACAATTTCACAAAGGAACTATTCATCCCTCTTTTTTTTACCTTAGAAGGGTTTACTTCATTTAATGACCAGATTTTTTCTATCTTGCGAAAATTATTGTAGATAAAAATATACGAAGGTATGACAAAAGTATTGAAATACAGTATATATATATATACAATATATACAGAGAGAGAGAAAGGGAGAGAAATATTTAAGCTTCTGAATGGAGAAAAAAATAAAATATATGCTAAAATTATAGGGTCGTATTATCATGCCTACACAGTTCAAGGTTTATCCAAAAGGTCAGATTGTAATAAATTTATGGGATTTGGATTTTATGGTAGTTATTACAATAAAATCAATAAGTTGTGGAAAAATGGTATGCAAAATTTGATTTGTAGGGTTCTAAAACCTATAAAATATTTCGCTAGTAAATAATTCATGTATATTTCTAGACTTAATTCTTCCGTGATCAAAGAACTGAATACTTGCTCCTTCCAATTTCAACTTGCCTAATTCTTAGCACTCTGACACTCTATTATCTAATTTCTAGTTTGCCATCAGCATTTAATTTAATTGCATAACTTTATAATTATTTATATTGCATTCTGTGTTCATTTATCAATTAAATTAATCAAAAGCTGTTACGGGGATTAATAAACCGAATAAAGTTTTCAATTTTTTTAAACTTTAGTACTGAACTAAGCTGCTGTATTGCAATAGATTTTACAGCAAGTAATGGTAGTCCACAAGTTCCCGGTACATTACATTACAGCACAGTTACTCAACCATCACAGTATGCGGTTGCTTTACAAGCTGTAGGAGAAATAATCAGTGATTATGATAGGTGAGTAATGTATATTTGTAGCTGCCTGTAAGTGGAAACACGCTTCTTTGTTGATTTATCTGCCTCAAAGAACCTAACTACATAGAAATACAATTTGTCATCGTGTGTGCGTTTCAAACTACTATCTTTTCCTTCAACTAAATTCTTTAGACCGATTTTCCTTTAATGTCTATTTCGTTGTTTCAGTTAGTTGCTATTTTTGTTTATGTTCTTGACACGCTATTGATCCAGTTAGATATGTATGCGAAATCAATGTCACTAGTATAGGGGTTGTGGAGATTATTAAGTTTTTGATCCCGCGAGCGGAATTCGAACCCAGGGCCTTCGGTCCCGCGCGCGAACGCTTAACCAATTGGACCACTGAGCCGGCATCCAATGGTGATAGTTTCTAACATCAACCAATCCACGAAATTTCGCGACCAACTTCCATTGTACTGAGGTAGATACCTGTCTCTACCCGACAAGGATTAGCTTCACTGGTCACGGCTTCTCACTAGAGCTCACTAGTGACTAGCTTCGTGAGGGAATTTTCGGAGTTCTAGTGAGAAGCCGTGACCAGTGGAGCTAATCCTTGTCGAGTAGAGACAGGTATCTACCTCAGTACAATGGAAGTTGGTCGCGAAATTTCGTGGATTGGTTGATGTTAGAAACTATCACCATTGGATGCCGGCTCAGTGGTCCAGTTGGTTAAGCGTTCGCGCGCGGGACCGAAGGCCCTGGGTTTGAATCCCGCTCGCGGGATCGTGGATGCGCACTGCTGAGGAGTCCCACAATAGGACGAAACGGCCATCCAGTTCTTCCAGGTTTTCAATTGTGATGGTCTAACGTCAATTGGTTCATGATCTCAATCAAGAAATCAATGTCAATTTCTCGACTAAGAGGGGTAGAGAATGTAGATGACAACAATAAGAGTTATAATTGTTGAAAACATTTCAAGATTTGTATCGTTGTAACTAATTTAAATAGTGCTACCAAAGGAGAAGCTTATCGTATATAGCTTTCCTATCATTACAGGTTTTTAGAAATTCTAATTATGATTTTTAAAACTGTTATCAAAGTCCAAGGATAACTTCATTTCACCAATGTTATCAGCGACATAAAGACCACCTACCAACTCTTTATCAGTCGATGTTCTGTAGATAGACATTCTGTTACAACTAAAAGTGAATAAAATATTACAATTTCTCTTAATATCTTTTTAACGAATTCAACAGTCGTTTGTAAGTTCATACAATATCCTCGTATGATCTGATAATTATTAATGGTACTTATTAAAGATATTAATTTCAAGTAATTTCCCTATTCAATTGCTAACAGCGATAATGTGCCTTTTGTTCTACATTGCAGGAATCAACCCCTTACTTAGTTAATTTTCAGTGGACTATTAGTAAAAACAACCAACTTTTACTAAATCACATTAAAGATTTGGAACCCCTTACATTCAAGATTGGTATTCTGAATTAAAATGTTTTCTTTATGATCGATTGTTGCTAGGTAAAGTAAAAAGAAGTTATGAAAAAGATCTGTTGATAATTTAACTAAACTATGTAAATCACTGTAAGCCTTCTAAATGTAATCTAAAAGATAATGGTTGTAGAAGAATTATCTGTCGATATACTCAATCGAACTGCTGTAGCCTCCTCTGTCTTTATGACTACTGTTCCTCTTTTTCTCACTGGCGGGTTGATAGAATACTTTTACAGGTATTCTTGAGTTATCTTTCTCTATCATTTTGTAGCTCTTCCCTTTTTTGTAAAATATTTATCAGCTAAAAATGCTACGATGATGAATTCGAATTTTTTTGAATAACTTTCCTTACAAATTGCACAAATTGATGCATCGTTTAAGCAAAGATTGATTGTCTAGTTGAAAAAAAGGTAGTTTTGCAAATTAGTAATAACAATATATTTATTTAATTAGATGAGCGAACTACTAAATTAGTTTATATTATGACAATCTGTACTTTATTTTTTCAGTGATAATCTATTCCCTTCATTTGGATTCGGTGCTTGTATTCCACCTGATAATAATGTGTCACATTGCTTTCCGCTGGTTAGTTGATTTTCTTTTCTTTGGAAAAAATATTTATTTTATTTAATAATTATTTAGTAGCTTTTTTTCGTTTATCCGTTTTCACTATGGCGGGACCACATATGTGTTGCAACACTGAAGAGTTGTCCAGTGTGGACATTTATGTAGTTTGTGTTAACGACTTTGTCTAATTGTTATTTATTCCATATTTTCATCACTAAAGTGTTAAATTATAGGCATGGGAATATTTATCTGCTACCAGTTCTGGAGGTATTTTCTACTGATTGCTTAAATTTTCTGATAGTTTTCGTCATTACACATTCATACTTATGTGCATTTAGCTTATATAAAAGAAAAGTTTGTTATGTTACAAGATTGCTTATTTCACACATTCAAGGTAAAATCACGATTTTATAGTTTTTAATTTTAATAAGTTACATTGGAAAATTCCCTCTCATTCTATCCATTGGAATTATAAGAGTAATATCATATATATGTACATATTCACCGTAAAGTTAACTTTTTCCTTGTTTAATAGGGGAAGAATAGATTATGTACACAATTTCCTTTTATTTATTGTCTTAAATAAATAATCTATCGCTATGTGTTCTATTCACTTAAAATAGATTTTATTTGACCTTGCAAATTGATATTCTTTTAATAACCAATTCATAGTATTTAATTCCTTTCAGTGAACGGTTTATTGTGAACATAACGAGAATCTAATTTAACAGCTACTTATTTATTATTATAAAATACATCTTTTATATATTTATTTGGCAAATTGAATTTAAAAATTTAGTTTGAAAAATGTTATCAGTAATAATTAAATTATTAGTAACAACTAACTAAAAATCTATACAATCGTACCACTTCAGTCGAAACATCTAACAGAGTTTAAAATGATTCATAAATAAATGTTCACTCGAAGGATTTTCTTCAGTTATACCTTGGGTGTAAATTATGGTGGTTGGTTTAATGTACAGTGCGGGCTGATATAGAGGTAGATTATAACAAAAGCTAGGAGAATCGAAATCTAGAGATTGTGTTGGTCGATAAAGCTGTGGAATAGTAATTTAAACCAGGTCTGCAGGTGCAGAATTTCTATCGTAAATCGATGTGAACTGACTACTGCCGAAATTTAATCGATTTGTTATCCAAGTACCATGAGAATCAACCACCTTTATTTACTTGTATACCACTGTATTGGATGATTATAGAAACCGGTTATTTCGGACACTATCTGTTAGATACAGTTACAAAAGAAAGGAATTCAGATATGACTTTGACTGTGTACTGATCAATATATATTAACGTAAATTTTGAGTGATGTTAATTATGAACAGAGCAAGAACAAAAATTTGAGCAGAATAACGTAAGTTCATTTGATTTCGCTGGATTATCGTCAGCTGCTTACAAACAGTAGTACTTAAAAATCATAATTACAAAATGGGTCGAAATTACCTTGATTAATGAATTTAGTTCGAAGTTGTTGCTCATAAAAACTTGGGTTGTATGTATGATTTTTAAATATTACAGGTTGTCAACAACTGATGTGAACCTGATGAATTAATGTGAATTCATATTATTCTGCTCATATTTCCGTGCTCTCCTCAATATGATAAAGCGAATCGCGTGCATAACTTTAATTAATCAAAATCTCAGTTGTTGACTCAAAGTTCCTAAGTTATATCAGTAAAGAAGTCATTTAACCAACAAATAACATATACGCGTAGTTTAAAAAATTTGTTAATGAAACAAAAGAATATGAAGGAAAACTATTTAAAATAACTAATTAATCGTAAAATAGAAGTCTTTTCAAGTTATTAATTAGCTGATAAATTTAAAATCTGATTAACAAGCTTGTTTTTGTTATGTATGTCAGGTGACAAGACGAACATATCACAAAGTCGTTCTTCATCAATTTAAAAATCAGTGTACATAACAGTTTTTCAACAAATCATATCACTAGAAACATTATAATATCTTGGAAATCTCATATAACTTGGACTAGTTAAGAAAGCTAATTAATTGTGGACAAGAAGAGAAAAAATCCTACTTTATCTACATAAAATTTAAAAACTGGGAAGAGCTATTTTAATTATCACAATCGATTCCGATTATTTAAGCATCGAAATTTTCCAACGAATGATTTCTGAATATACGACTAATGAGTTGTATAAAATTTTGTCGACTACTTTATATTCTCTTAACTGAGGCCAAATAAATTCTCCATATTATGTGACCTGACTCAGCTAACAATAAAAACTTAACGCTTACTTTACTTATCTAAATAGACAAGGAGGTACACAATTTGAGTTGAGATACCCGTTTCTGGCTGATAGTTCTCCCTACTTATTAACCTTGTTTATTTTTAAGTTCATGAGGTCTTCAAAGTTGTGTTAGCGTAGTCAGTGATATTTACGTCTGTAAATCTATCCTGTTTGTTTCATTGTACTGAATTTGCATGTGGTATTGATCCGTTGCTTAATTTTGACTACTACTTTTTGTGATATGAAACTTAGATTTATCTCTAGACCATCAATGCATTAACTGTCATTTTAGCGTACATATGTATGCGTTTTCTGTATAAAGAGTAATAAGTTGTGCTTGATACGTTTTATTTAAATAAATAACTACATATACATAGTAATTAATAGATCTGCTAAAATTAACTGATGAAAATGTCTATAAATTCCTAATTCCTTTCAAAGTTTTTTTTTATAAAGTACAATCTAGTTTAAGTTATTATATTCATTTTTCCTTACTGTAGTTTCCATTCTGTTTTGCATTATTTATGTATATAACATGCTTTTAATTTCTGTATACTTTTTTATAATCTCGAGTACAAACGATACAAATTTAAAATGACGCATGGATATCAATATTTCATTCTATAGATTTATAAGGAGGGTATCGTATTAACCCTCAAATATTGTGACTTCAATTCATGCATCATATAGATTTCCAGTGAATCTCAAATGTAAACTCTGTAATAGTTTTTGTTATCATAAAGCTTAGGCATATTTGCTTGTTTATTTATATATTTGAAATTCTATCTTTTATTCCTTTTCGTAATCATATATAATACATACTTATTAGTTATTTATTGTGTTTTTTTTTCATTTGTTACTAAACTGAGAAGTAATAGTCAAGTCTGTTTATGAACTCCTGCTTAATGACTATCATTACTTTAGTTATTCTTAATGCTAATGTTACTAACTTGTATCGATAAAACGTTGTAAAAAGTTCTATCTTGTCGTTTTTTTTCTTTTTTCGACATTTCATTATTTTGTCTTGCTTTAAATATTTCTCATTTTCTCTCCCCTTTTGTATCTGTATATTTACATAGATAGATAGACAGATAAGTAAATTAATTAATGAAAATTTTTTTGGCTTCTATTACGCTCTGCCTCATATCTCATTCCTTCCTATCTTACATTCAATTCTTATCGTTGTTCTTAACAAGCAATTTCCATTGTGAATGATAGCGCGATTTCTGTCATGTGATCTGAAGTTTATTTAAATTATTTTTGTTGCCTATTCATTGTTGACGGTTTTTTTGACCTTAAAATCATGATGTTTTTTAAAATATTTTTTTATAAATATATACACATATATATTGTTGGTTTGTGAAAAATCAAAAGCGAGTTTTTCTACAAAAAACAAGAATTTGTTTTATGTGGTTGTGGAAAAAATTGAGTGTCGAATTTCTCCCCTTATGTAAATAAAAATAGGACTGTTAACTGTTCGATTAAGATTTTAAGTAATGGTAACAGATTATCCATTTATCCCATAAGTTCTCGACTTTCTCATATATCTGTTTTACTTTAATATAAAATAAAAACTTAGTGGTTTTTATTAATCTTGAAATTTAACATACCTAGTGTTCAGTCTTAAAAACTTTATTACTAATGCAAAATAGGCTAGATTTTAGGCAGTAATTCACAAAGTAATCCGAGAATCGTTGAACAGTTTGAGTAAATATTATTTTAGATTTTATCCTCCTGAATGAAAATACTAAATAATGATATTTTCTAAACCTGACTTTATATTTGATTATTAAAGGATACAATACTAGAATACTGCAGGTTATATAAGTATTTACTTCTAATTGAACTTTACAATATCATGTTACATCACGTGGTTCATTGTTTTCTTTTGTCAGAAATCTCCTATCTATATAGTAGCACTTCTGATAAACTTTTGATGCTTTTTAGTTATCATCTTTCCCTACTTTCATTGACCTATTCAACTAATCAATGATTTTTAACATCTAATTTAAATTTTACTGGCTATTAATGGATATAAACAAAGTTCTATTTGCCATTTTGTGTCGTCCAATGTTTTTCATCAAATTTTCATCTTGGATAGATGTTTTTTTGTTAAAAATATTTTTTTAATAAAAAGATAAACATAATCATTTATTAACAAATTTTAATGAGTTTCTGTCATCCATGCTGGTTTATTTGATATTTTATTTTTATAGAATTTTTAAGAGTTTGATTGGTCAGAATGTTTGGTTACTGATCGATTACTAGTTACTTTTCCTAATATTGTTTTCGTGTATCCCAAACAGGTAAACAAAAAACCGGCTATATGATTATAATGTTAATTCACTAAAGCTTTCTAAAGATATTGTAAAGTTCTGACTGGTAGGAATGTTGTTTCCTAACCACATATTTTCTATGTTCTAGAGTAATAATAGAAATTAAAATTCTCTGTAATCAAAAAACATAATCATAAATGATAAAAATAATAAACTATTCTAACTGACTACTTAGCTTATCCTATCTTATATTATTTGATCTATATACACGTTAAAAAAAATAGTTATGCTTCTAAATATGATTTTCTGTTATTTCAGTATATATTCTACGTGTGTTTTGTGCGTGAAAATAACTTTTAAAAAATTTTAAGCTAATTTTTAAACGCAATTTAATAACTATATATCAAGTAAATTAAAGTTATAAAGTTCTTTTTCTCTCATTTAAGCCTCTATAGTATCACTAAAAATTTTTTACTTCATTCCACTTTTTTTTTGTAGTTTTAGTCTATCATCTTTTTCAACCAATAATCTCTAACTCAGTTATCCTATATTATTAGTCTAGATCAGTTTAATCAATCTTAATCTTTGTCTTTTTGTGTAAGTACATTAATTGAGTAGAATCAACTATTTGTATATCACTTTATCAAATATGCTAATGATATTTGTAGATTATTACAGGTTTAATTTAATGAGAATGAGAATAATCTAACTAATTCGAATAGCTTGTTAGCCAGAAAAACTATTCAAATACTGTAATGTTCCTCACGTTAATCTCGTTACAAAGTCTCTATTTGCATTCCATCATTAAGTACATTTTAAATAACATTTTTCTAGGATATAAATCGAGAAGTTATTAATAATATTCATTCCAACCAGTTTAAGTGTATGTAGCTCAAAAATTTTGATTATCTTCCCCCTTATAACTATTTTTACCAATGTGTTCAAGACTACATGGCAGAAGTACGTTAGTTTATCAGTCCATTTTGTATTATCGTGGATTGGTTAAAGTTAGACATTAACACCGTTGGATACGGGCTCAGTGGTCTAGAGGTTAAGCGTTTATGTGCGAGACTGAAGACCCTGGGTTTGAGTCCTGTGTGTGGGGTAGTCGACGAGCGCTTCTGAGGAGTCTCGTGCTGGGAAGAAATGGCCGCGTAGTGCTTCCAAGTTTTCAATGGTGGTTTAAGATTGATCGATTCATGAACCCAATAAAATTCGTCGGTATACTAATTGTTTAGGAAAATTGATTATTATATTTTAACATCCTTTTTTGTGTATAAAAACGTGTTTTCCTGATTATTAAGTAATGCACTGTACGTGTGGATACCGATAACACTTTCAGTGCATAGTTTTTTGTGTATGTATGTGAATTTGATAAATGTTCTAAAACAATAAAACGTAGCATCTTTTATTTTTATACGCTACTGCTAATTTTTCAACAATTACACCGTTATAACAACAATAATATAAAATATTTTCATGATTCTCCTTTATTGATTTTGAACAAATTATTATCTAATGTGTAGAATGGACACATGGATAATCCGTACTGTGAGGGTATTCAAGGTGCAATGGCTGCTTATGCCCATTCATTGAGAACAGTAAAGTTCCATGGACCAACAAATTTTGCTCCGATCATTAACACAGTAGCTAGGTAAGAAGTTTATTTAGATTTTATTACCAACGAGAGTGAATAAATAAAGTTTTTACAAAATATTAAATTTCATTATCAATAAATAATTAGCTCATTATAGTTGATAATACTCATAATCAATTTAATCATTTTGTTACTATTTATCAAAAGCAATTACCGCTGAATTATAAAGCCCTTTAAAATCTCAATTCATGTAAAACTTAATAATATATTATGTCTTTTCTCAGTTCTTTCATTTTATTGTGTCTGTTGAAATCTTTAGATGTCTAAATGTAGTTGATTAGTGAATAAGCACATGAAGTTTGATTGCCTCTGTTCCCATTCGGAATGAGTTGACATTTTTTTGAAAAAAATATCATATGAGCCGAATTTTATTTTGCCTTACTAGTTACTTTGATACTGTATTCTATAATCTTACAGCTTTCTGACGTCGTTCTCACCATATCAGCCTTATTAGGTTTTGCAACCCTAGTCAGCTACTCTCTTATCAAGTAAACACTAATTGTTTTTCTTTTCTAATGTCTTTTTCGGACTTTTTACATCGTCTTTTTCCTTTCATTGAACTAAATGAAAGAGGACTAAAAGTTGTCTGATATTATTGATAGATAAGGCTTAGAGATATAATTACTACAGTTATTGCTTTTGACAAATTTGAACAATTCGATAAGTAAACGAAGTTCATCAGAACTATGTGACTAGTTAAGATATCAACAAACTCTTTTAGTAACTAAAGGCGTTGCACAGAACCATAAAGTACTTGAGTATGAGTTCTACTCTAGTTTTTAGGGGTTATGACACTATCCAGTTACTCAAATCGAAGGAGATGGAACAGCGTTAACCTGAGGTTGAAGGTGGAATGCCTTAACCATTAAGCTGCTGCTTCACGGACTAAGGAATCAGTAAGTGCGTATTCACATAACTAAAACTTACTAATTTCATGAGACTTTAACTATTCGGACAACGAAATTTACTAATCTAAATAAACAGAAGCATTCACTATGAACTAACAACTTGATTTTCAGTGAACTTAAATACTGACAGCTTAGAAAAAAGAACTAATGAGCTAATTATGCCTCAAAATGAAATATCCTATTAATGATTATAACCATGATGTAGCATTTCGTATTATCGACAAACAGAAAAAGAAGGCTTAAATTCATAGTTGTATGTTTCGAAATTATTTTCCCCTAGTGCCCGGAACGAACTTGTATTGAACACGATAAGATCAAATTACCATAATGAAAATCATGACTAAATGCTGCGAATGAAAATGTGTGTATGAAGGAATAACACAACTAAGTATCTAGAAGATGATAAGAGAATCAGTTTGCGCCACTATAACCTAATCTTAATCCTTGTCACTCAACCTCTCCAACCACTAATCCTGGTTATCATGCAGAATCCATTCAGGTAGTCTGTACCTACCGCGCAGTCCCAATGTCAGTGATTTTATAGACTGATTGCGTGTGTTAGTTAGGGTCTCCTTGCGATTTGTTCCTGCACTAGCTCATATTCTAATTCGAGGTAGGCTCTGTTTGGATTTATGCAATAGGTCCGAATTCCTATTCATCTATATTTAATCACGAATAAACGTTCTCAACAGAGTTTTTGAAGAACACAACCAACTTGGTAACCGATTCGTCTTATTCTGCGACTCATCACAATTGCATTACGATAAAACCATAATGAATAGAACTCAGTGCATTAATGTCTTGTGTCAAGCATGGAAACGTTAAACCGCTGAGTTTTAATCCAAAGGTGGAAAGCCAAAATTTATCATATGGCGCGATATTCATTTAGCGTTATCTGTGAGTTTAAGTCTGAATATTGATTTAACTATTTTCACACATCACTTCCAACTCTTAACTTATTAGAAATTAAGTAAAAACTTTGTCTGTCTACACAAATATAATGTATTTATGAGAATTGAGCTGCATAAAATAAAAGGTTATTTGTTATTCCAGTCTTACAATTATTCAGCGAAATCTCAAACTGGAACAATTATGAAGTTAGATCTTTCAAAGCTTATCTTAAAAGCGTCGAAAGCATCACTATCTTATCTATTAACTCTGAAAGGAGTGTCTACTGAAGTTAAATGCATTTGTGTTTGTTTCTTGCCGAGAGGAGGGGTAGGGCTGAAGTTAAATTTATTACTACGCAATCGGAATCTCCATTTTGTATAACCGTTTTACGTAATGATTAAAAATCATATGTCTCATGAGATTTTCCATTTTAAATTATTAATTTATATGTTTTTGTTGATGATCATCACTGAAACCAGAGTCTGCTAAAATTTCTCTAACTTGCCAGCATTGATGATTTTACGCTGTATATCACAAAATACTTACAGCGAAAATATCACACATAAGAAATTATTAATAAAAAGAACTGGCGTTTTCATAGTATGCTTTATGGGAAAAACATAAAATCATTAAATAAACCGAATGTTACTATTGTGTTTGATAACTGATTCCGCTGATAACATCGTACCTTATCGAATTTGTATTTGGCTTTTTTTGTACGTTGTCATTTTAATTTAGGAAATCTTTTTTTTAATTGTTTGTTTTCTTCAATAAAAGTATTGCTCGTCAGTCTGTCGATGGTTCTCAATATTCCATTTTACTGATTCTTACTGATGGGATCATATCAGATTTGCCTCAAACAAAGGCTGCTATAGTAAATGTAAGTGTATAAATTTGATTTCTGTTTAATTTCTCATTTATTTATAAGTATATTTCATTTTTTTTAATATCTTATACTAAATATAAATCGAACTGTATCATCACTTATTTTCACTGAATTTTATCATATAATTAAATTCAACATATCATATCATTGTTATTTGATTTTGATCAATTTTCTATCTGCTTAAATAATAATTGTTTCCGGACATTTAGATGTTTCACTTCAATTTATTATTATTAGGTTGATTGATGAATATGTAAGTAATCAACTGATTTATACTATAGATAATCTTTAAAGGAGGAACATGTTATTTTTTTGCCATTCAGGATGACTAGTTTGCGTATATCAATCGTTTGCTAACAGTTGACTTAAACTTAATTAATCTATTTCTTGATCTAGGTCTTATTTTAAAGTGCATACATTTCGATGATAATGTTTTTCATATTAAAGACTTATCAAAACTTTATAATCGGTTATAATATTTTGTTTATTATTAACTGAATTTAGACTAATCATATTATATTAAGAGCTACAACCTTTTATTGACATTCAACATGTTAAAATGCTTCTGATGATATACAAATTATTTTGTACCAATTCTGTCAATTTTTAGCTTTATTCTACATTATTCTAGTGTTCATGTTCTCACGATAGATACAATATAAAAAAATTTCATCGAAGTTATTCTGTAATTTTTTTCTTTGTATTTCATAATGAAGAAGGAATAAGATTTGATTTCTAGACGGATACAAACCAAAACAATTAAATGAATGTCATACACATAATTTCCTTTATCGTCTTGAGAAAAACAGGAACAAAAAATCAAACAGAATAACATGAAAACATTTTGTTTCGCTAGATTCCGATTAGCTTTTTACAATCTGTAACAATTAAGAATCGGAATTATAATGTAGGTTGAAAATACTGACATGGATGAATTTGATTAAGGTTTAATTGAATATATATGGATTAAGTTATTGAACATGCTGTTTTATACAGTATTGATAGTTTGGTTGCAGATTAGGTTTCAGCTAATGAAGTGTCAAGCCTCTTACTGATTATCCCCGCAACATCGCCTCTAATGTTAAGATGGATAAAGGTGAGGTTTCTTATTAAATGTGGTTATATTTAACTTGTTATCTTTAGGATTTTTCTTGGTCATCAAACAATTTTTGTTGGTTGCAATTGTCTCTTAGGCACTTTTCAACGTCCGTTGTTCCTTCTGGTTTGCCAATGGTTTCTTGTAAATGATTGAATAAGAACATAGAATCCGAGTATTACCCAGTACAAGTATTTTTCCGACAAATCGGACGTTAACATTTGCCGTTTACTCCATTGTATAACTATAGCAAATGTTTTGGATTTGCCACTCTTTCCATGGCTTGAGGGGGCGAAACCAACTTATAGTATTAAGCAAAATCAAACAATGGGTTTGTAAAATACCAAAATCATACATACATTCCTTTAGTTGTCCTTCACATACTCCATCAGTCTTACAATCCTGTTGTTATTCCGATTGTTCTCTGTTTTTCCTTCTCTTCTCTCAATTTCCATCTTCTGTTGGTAAGTATTGCACTTCCAATTCCTGCTATATACTACTTATATCTGTCTGCATAGCTGGTGCACAGACGTGTTGCGTTGTAAACTGCATGTTATGATGCACGTTGTTGGAGAGTTCTAGCAGGTGGATCACATTCTGTTTGCTATTGCAAACAGTAAACTAGCTATCAAAATACCTGATTTACTTTGTTATTTCGTTAATCGTTTGTTTAAATTCTGTGCTTTCAAGATAACCCATAAATATATTTACCAGAACTGGACCTAATGGACCTATGAATCTTGCTCACCCATTATCTGAATTTTCTGTTCTATGTAACTAACAATTAGCTTCAAGTTATATCGAAATAATTTTTGAACCATGAATCGTACAAAAACCCTTATTTAGTATTTATAAATTAGACAATCTACATCAATCCTCATAAAGTTACAAAACATTTGTTTTACACACTGCGAACATTTCTCATATTATACAATGGGTCAAATAAAGTACTAAGTGTTTTCTAATCCTAGGAATCAATATTAAAGTGAATTACGAAGATTTACATAGATTTTTTAATCAGATTATATGATTATGCACATATTGCATACTGATAATCTTAGGTTGTTTTTCGATGTTGATAGTTGCCATTTGTATTATTCCATTAGTTTTGATATACTTATTCTAATAACGTTATTATATCTTATATCCTGAGAAAATAATGAAATAGTTTAATTTATTTTTTTAATCAGCTGTTTATAATGTATGTTGTTATTCTTATGAAAAACATGGTAATATTTGATTATGGTTGCCAGAAGCTACAGTTGTGTCAATTTTGGAAAGTAGGAACCAATATCCAACTAAGTGTCAACATTTCAACTGTCTCCAAATGTCTAGAATAGTTCATGGAGAGAAATCGGATGGTAGTTTTTGATACTAGATGGTAAAGTGTGTCGATTTTCTTAAAAGTGAATTTCATAAAGAAACTCCGGTAGTTCATGAAATGTATGTCTTTCACTGTATTCTTTCAAAAATGTTATAATCTTCATGATTACACCATTCGGTTCACAAAAATTGACTCTCAGAAATGGTGTTATCGTGCACAAGACTTTTTCTTTAACTGTTCAGTTTTTTGTTTTCCGTATACTGCCGAGTTTCTCATTTCGCGAATTAATTCAAATTATATTATCATATATCGATAATCATATATCGATACAAGAATAGAAAATAACAAGTATAAGGAGATAATAAGCTTATCGCGATATTAGACTGAGGTTACCAAATAAATTAGTAAATATAATAATAGGATGCTCAAGATAAATAGTGAGAACAACAAGGTTATTTTATCCAATCTTGCAGTAAAGTGTCTATACTCTATAAGCAACTGATTCGTAACATCTTGAGAAACAAATAATCTTACTTGTACAGCTTAGTCAAACAGTCTAGTACTATATGGACGGTTTCTGGAAGCTTTTCTTGTCCTGATCATGCCTCTGTCATTTTTATACATTATTTTTAAAACAGCGCTTCCCACTTCTCATATTCAACAACACATCATGATGTTTAAATCCAATAGAGGTAATCCAATATTCCAGCGTTTTAATGGAAATTCAGAGTGCTTTATCAGCTTTTAATTTATTTAACTTCTAAAATAAGTTGATTTTCATTCTAGAAATAGAAGAAGACAACTCAAGTATCTTCCTTATTTGTTACCTGTATCTGGTCTAAACTTAATTGCTTAATGGATCAATATTTCGAACGTCATTTACGTGTTGTGTACCTCATACAAGACCATTCGGTAATATTTTTATTAAAATGAGATCAATCACTCATTACTTGAAGTTAGAAATGAAAATAATTCGTCTTTAACTAAGAGATATAAAGGTAAAGTATTTTTTCAAAGGCCTGAAAGTCATGAGTTTGATCGCTGTCTGAGTCAAGGGTGCATAATGTTATGGAGTCCAAAACTAGAAAGAAATAGCTGTCAAGTACTCCTCGTTTGTCAAAGGTCGTCTGTGACGCAAACTCTTCAAACTGAACATTATCCACGAACATTCTGTCCATTCTTCGTCAGGTGGAATCATGGTTATGATCTTTCTTGTTTTCAGTCTCTTTAAAACCTTTTGTTCCTGTTTGATAAGATGAGAATAGTTTATATTTTGTCGAAGCAGGTGTACAATCACTTGTCATATTTCTTTCTGAGTTTTTTTCCATTTCTAATATGTTGAGTGTCAAATTTAGAGTTTTGAAAAAATTCGGTTTCTGATCTTCTCCCGTATTTCAATTTAATTCTTTTGGAAATAAACATTCTGCTTTGGTCAAGATTTGTTTTTTTTTATAAGTGTACTTCACAATCATTTGTTTATGCTTCATTCAGTGGGTTGGATATTTTGACTAATTTTTCTCTGAGTCTCGTTACTGTCGTCGATGTCATTTGCTTGATTTTTCGCTTTTAAAGTTAGTTATTATCATTAATTTTTGATCCCAGTTTTTATTCCGTACTAGTTCAGTTCAAAAGTTAAAAATATTGAGCAACAAAATAAACTTTGAAAACTTACTGTATTGACTATTGTTAATTGAACTCATTTAACTAAAGTCATTTGAACAAGTTTGCAATGAAACTGGAAAATCGACTGAAATGAAACAGTGTTACATAAGAAATCCTCTCCGCGATTATAAGCTAAAATGATTATTTTTGTATTTTTAGATGGATTATACAGAGGTTCGATCAGACTTCATTTATACGAAAAATTAACCCCGGTTATCTGCTAAACAAAGTTTAATCATTTTAAGGAAAAATAACCAGTAAAATAAATCCGTAAGATGAAAATGAATGTACATCGAATACTTTTAAAGCATTGAAACAAACTAAATAGACAGTTTCATCCATTTTTCTCTTTGTTCTACTTCACTTTTCTTGTAAACCTTCTGTATAGGTACAAATGCGAGTTCAGACATAGTCCGTTTCATCAGTTTTATGATAGTACAAATAGTATATATAAATTGAGGTAAAGCAAACTTCAGAATTTATTGATGATAAGTTTTCATTTCTTGTAATAGTAGAATTAATGGGGTGTTGAGTTTTTTTCATTTAATCCGAATGTCTACTTAGAATCTTTTTTTATATTAATAACATTGTGAAGTGTACCCAAATGTACCGAGTCACATCCTTTCATTATAAATAAATATTTTTCTCCATTTGGTTTTCCATCGATTACGTCTCATCAGTTGTGCTGTCTTTTTTCTGAGGAATTACAAAACATAGACATTAGGATTAGAAGTTTTGAATGTTCTACATGGTAGCTCGTTTTGTCTGAATAGAAGGTAACAGATACTTACGAATAAATTGAAGTAGTTTTCGAGTTTCGTCACGAAAATTTGTAGTTAATTTCATCTTTTTATTTTCTTCACACATGTCATTTTATATTTCGATATAAATATAATTGTTTCTTTATTCTTTAAAATTCAATCGAAACTTATAGTCTAGTCTTAAGTAACTGTTTACTAAGATTCATTTTACCTATAATTTTTTTCTTAATCTGTAACTGTAATTTCATCACAGACTTCAGTAAATATTGATTGCCTTTAAATGGAAATACTGAATATACAATCCTTTGAAGCCAAAATTGATAATAGGGCGTTGGGGATTTAACACTTTCATGCAATGAATCATTGTGTTTCATTCCAAGCAGTATATCTCAACTGCAAAAGTTTCATCATAATGCACTTAATTCAGTTGACTAAACGTGTTTGAAGTCACGAGTTGCAAAACGTACTGAGGTAGAATGTTTTTCTCTTATCTTTCTTAGTAAATAAAAGTATTTCTATCCTACAAAATAGTGGTTGAGAATATTATACATACACAGTATATGTATATGCTCATATAACATAAACATTTTCAGTAATGTTATTGATCAAAGCTAGAAAGAAGTATTCTTACTAAAACTTATTAGGATTCTACACTTAATTAAAGGAAATATTGTTTTGTGTATTTTTGGAGTAAGATTCTTAATTTAGGTTGTAAGTAGTAGTTACCGTTGCTTTTCTCCAAGTCATTTAGCGAATGTCTACTTTTTTTGCGTAAACTTCAAAGTAGTAACTGTATTAGTAGTTATCAATATTTGAATGGTTTGGAAAAATTGATTATTTCAACAACACGAATGTGAATGCAGAAACATCGATAATATTTGGCTGTTCTTATTTTGAATCCTTATGTAAAAATTTTCCTAACATTGTTCTTGAGATCTTTATTACAGCTGTATATATGTGCGTCTATATACATGTTTATCATCTTTTTGACAATTTTATTTATACGTTTGGCGTTTTTAATTCAAACATCAACTGTTGTATGAGTAAATCAATGTGACCTGAAATAATATTATATGACTTCACTATTCATTTTTTCTGTAAATACATAGATTTAGGTCAAAACCTCAAGTTGTATGTGCCTTAATCCTCATAAATAAATTAGGGCAGCCTTTTTATAAAGTGGAAATGGTTTTTATTCCTGCCCAGTTAGTAAACTCAATAAAACTGATTCTTTATTTATGCATAATTAATTATTATTATCGATTATGTATCGTAGAAACGAGATTACGATTCGTGAGCCTTAGGGATCAAAATATAGTCAACGTATGCTGATTTTTATGTGATATCATTTTAGTACTTTTACTAAACTTTACTTTGTTGTAAAATAATGGTAAGTTCGTCAGTATTACTAAAACTTGTTAACTACATTTATTGGTCTATATAATGAACTAGTCTATGTAATAATAATAAAGTATTAATAGTAAAAATGATCTGTTTTTCAGTAGTGAATAGTTCTCACTATGTATTTTCTGATATTAATAGGCGTCCAGTTTACCTTTAAGTATCATTATTGTTGGCGTCGGTCCTGCGAATTTCGATGAAATGGAAGAACTTGATGGTGATGAAGTAAGACTAAGTTCTCGTGGAAAAACGGCGATTCGTGATATTGTTCAGGTACGTTTATGATTCATATTTATTTCCTTTCTATTCTGTGTTATTTCTGAATCTTTTGATTCGGTGAGACTATTCAGTTATTTCTTAGAAGAATTGTATTCAGTTAATTCAGACTCCATAATATTATCACAGTATAGGGTTGATTTATGGTCATATATTCTTGTTATCTCACATTATTTACATCCAATACATTGGCTATTACTCGTTTGTGTGATGAAATTTTGTTTACTGATATCAAGGTAATTTGTGAAAATTTATCTCATGTAAGCACATTAAAATTGAATTTAAACTGATACAAGAAATCTTTCTGAATCATCTCATTCACTTGTAGTGTGGATTAAATTTAAAAGCATTGATATCCTCATCGAATTGCTCTACCCTCACATGTTAGTAGAGGCGGATATAGCATTTAGGTTACAAAATGCCGTTTTTTAGTTAATTCAACCCATATGTCAAGTACTGATTCGTGTACTCTGGTTCAAATCACGTCCTAAGCGCGATAACTACTAACAAGTTGGCTAGACCAAATTATCAGAAGATGGTTTGGAACTTGCAACTTTTTGACTAAAATTCGAACGATTTACCCACTAAGTCACCATGACCATAAAGGATATGTTTCTTAAACGTTTAGTCAGCCAATGTAATTTCACAATCAGAAATTCCTGTTGGTATCTGGAAATGAAGGTTACACCAAGTAAATACAACGACGGATGCACTTTTATTACCATATAATGTTGATAGTAACATAAACAATTAAGTTATCTTGTGATATCACCAATAAAAATAGTATCTTTTTAATAAGATGTGTTTAAGAAACAAATATTTGAAAATGTTCATGTCATTAGATTTCCAATCTGTTTATGAAAACTACTTAATATGTAATACGCTGGTCAGTTTCTCAGTTCTAAATAAAAGAATAAGATTAGTTAACTTAACGTTGTTATTTCAATATCCCTTGGTTCTCAAAACTGTGTTTAGTATCTTAATTCTGTTTCAATAAGTTTCTTCGTAGCTTGTGAACGACAAACTTAGGTCATTTTAAATGCCTAGTTCTAAATATACCAGTCTTACAAAAAGCTCATAATACTGATTTGTACATTCTTTGAGGTGATCATGTATGTTGATTTTAGATTGACTGCCACTTGCTCATCCAACAGACATATTTATGATTTGTTTAGATCAGTTTTCTGTTTACAACGTTTTCAATGATGTTTTTCTTATAAATCATCAGGATTTTCCTCCTGTTTCATTTAATTGTCCCATACTATTGTATAGTGTAACAACTTGATCATCTGACCAAATTATTCTGATTTCCTTTTTAAATTTAAGAAATTCTACTTCAACAAAATAGAATTTCATTTTTTTTACTTTCAGTTTGTTCCTTTTCGCAATTTCCACCAGTTGAATAATGTTCAAGAGAGTAAAAGACGTTTAACTAAAGCTGTTCTCTCAGAAATTCCAGACCAACTGGTATCTTATATGCGAATGCAAGGAATTAAACCGTTGAATACACAAAATAATGATTATAAAATAGGAACACATTCAGAATTCAGGGATTCAAGTTGTAAAATGTATCATTCAGACAAATTGCCTCACGCTCCACCTTATCCTACTGATATTCCTAATCCACCTTATCCAAATTGTTAATAAAATTAATCAAGTACAAATGTGTGAAACAATATAGAACAATTTACTTGAATATATAAAGCATGGCTTTAAACTAAAATGAATGTTTTTTCTTGTATAGTTGAACTTCCACCTTTCATACTATCTTAAAACATTCATAACTTTTCAAATTTTTTTCCGGCTGACGATAATCATGGTCGCAATGTTTGCATTCTATGTGATTTGCAAGATTAATAAGTATTAACATATTTATGTTAATCATAATACTTAATATCTGCAAGCAGAATTCATATTCCAATAATTTACTTATCCATATAAATATTACCTAATTCTGTTTGATTTTATGCATAGAATTTTGATGTCGTCTGTGCAATAACTCCATAATATCCTATCATTTTATTTTCCTGTTTGGCTTATATGTTTTTCCTAAAGTTGTTTTTTTTCTCCTTCTTACAAAATAACAATAATAATTTCCTAAATGTGGTTTACGTTTAGTCAAAACCAGTTTCTAAATATGTGTCTCGTACAACTATAATAAATTCTCCTATTATTAGTGTCTTACTCAATCTACTGTTGTTTTTTCATAAACGTTTTTTGTTTTTCATTCTTTTCTAACGGTGAGAACAATAATGATATGAAAACCATGGGTCATAGCAACTAAAAAAGAGGAAGTCTTATCTAATTAATGTCATATCTTCATGTATCTTATAAACTACTGTTAGTGCACCTGATATAACTACCTTTAATTTCACTACTCCTCAATAAGAAGATAATAGTAGAGAAAATAAATCAGCTATTATTTCAGAAGAAAAGTAAACAAATTGCTACTTGTAACATCTCATTTCCGTATACATTTAAATAGTTGTAAGGTCGTAAGTCTTTTAAACTAGATCTCCATAATTTAATCTGATATACAGTAATATATATCCACATATGTGAAGAATATAAATCATTTTTGGGAACTAACAGGACCATAGTAACCATAAAATGGATTATGTGATTGAACATAATGATTAAAGTGTATTACTTGATAGAAGGATATGGTGTGTACTAGTGTAGTAGACGCTACTCACAAGAATATCTGTAAGTAGTGTGTAGCGGGACATGGTGTAAAAGGTACAGCGATTATCAAACGAATTGAAGAGTTAATTTTATCGGAAGCGCGGCGTTCGTAGAACACTAAAAAGTAGAGTTAAAATAATTATGAAAGTTACGTTACTAGTAGTGTTGAAATGCTTGTGAACGGAACAGATGCTTTCGCTAAACGGGCTTCCGTGTCTAACAGCAGTGGATCACCAATACCTACAGGCAAAAACCTTGGTATATTAACCATAAAAAAGGAAAAAAAAGATTAGTAAATCATAGTAGGATACTATACTTAATCCTTAAGAATATGTCAAATACCCTCTTAAACGACTCCTACTATGCTCTTGCACTAGCACAGCCAGCATCGAAATCTAGCATTTTATTACTCTTAAACGGTTGTAGTTGTGTCTGCCATCACTTCTGCCGTGTTGCGTCTCCAGGTTCTGAGTGCTACCACTTAGGTATGCATTGCCCCCTAGGTTTCTGGTGGAAGTGCCTTAGAAAGGAAATATTTTGACAGGAATAAATCAATGGCTTGCAACGCAAAACGCGGTAGATTTAAAATCGGCAGATACATTTTTAACTCTGAGAAATGTAGATCCCAAAAAATCACCACATTAGGTAGTCCTGTAAGTCCTCGAAATCGATGCTGAACTCATTAGTTTTGATGAATATAACCGAAGGCTCTCGTTCACACGTCTTCATCAGAACAAGAGTGGGTACGCCGTGCCACGCATCCATCGTAACCACTAAACAGCTTAGATCCAACGACATTTGATATATCGATAACTTCACAAATATTGCAATGTCATTTAGTAAGATGTTGGAGCTGATAAACTTGGTGGATACAAAAACTTCGATTCTGCCGCCATTTCAGAAACATGTCAAACGTCCAAATTGTTTGCTTTCGAAACTTGATTGTTTGGTTTCTTACTTTGTAGGGCTAACAGACTAAACAGTATGAGTGTTGGTGTTATCCTGTACACGGAAAGCACCTAAACAGTACGAGCTGTCGAGACAGTAGCACACTACTCAGAGGTATGTGAAACCTAACGGGCAAAGATAAACTTCATCTCTAATCAAAAAGTGTGGGACACTTTTAGTAGTTAATTGTAATGCACCTTTGATAAATTGAGTAAACTTAGAAGTAGGATTACAAAAATCATTTTTTCATTACAGATTGTTGGAATCCAGAATTTCACCAGCCTAATCTCAACACACTAGAGATACTATGAGGTTTTGAGTTACGAAATTCCATTCTCTATTAGACTTGGTGTTAGCACAAAATCACAATGTCAATTAGTTAATGTTCCTCACAACTATAGGTAGAAGTGTTCACCCTGTCGTGATATTGGAGTTCATGATTGATATGAACTGTCAAGTAGTTGCGCCGGCTTATTCTTATACGTGGAAGGAAGATATGAAGGCGATCAAACCCGATCCTCGACTAAAAATTAGGAAATCGACTCCAGCGCAGCAGTAACGGAAATATGGCCTCATTATCGGCAGTTATACTATCAAGTAGCTCGACCACTTACACTCTGAATAGTCTCAGTGAAGAAAATATAGGACTATATCTGGAGAAACCGTGAAATCCAACGCTTAATAAATCAAAAGAAGGTGTTGGAACGTCGTTAACAGCCTTGGGAGAGCAAATATGACGACGCGCTACAGGTCGATCCGAAAGAAGTGTGTTGGGACAATCCATGCAGCTCAGTAGAAATAAGAAAAGCAATTTGCTCAATCTATAATCAAGCAACCAAAGAGCCTGCTTTCGAAAATAAATCAGAGAGTCAATTTGCACAATTGGAATCCCATCCAAACCACGGGTTAATAGCATTAAAAGTGAGATAGAAGAACCAGGAGAAATCAGAGGCAATGGAGGAATATTTCTGGACATTTTTCACTCACGAGCCCCTCCCAGACGGAGAACTAGACCCAAATACAAAGTCAAGAGACTTACCACTCACTGTGGACTATGATCGAGATAATGTACTTAGTAATCTTAGTACATTAGACACGAAATGGTCGACAGAACTGGGTGAACTACACGCTAAAATCTTGAGACACATTTTAAAATAGGTTGCAGCTCCACTGACTATAATAGTGAGCATGTCGCTTGGCCAAGGTGAGTTGCCTATGGATTGGAAGGATTCACTTATCACTCCTATTTATAAAAAGAATCCAGACAGCTTCCTCCAGACTATAGACCTATCAGACTCACCAGTGTCGTAGTTAAAATATTGATGAAAAAGTAAAATTTGATCATAACATTCATTAAAGTCAACAGACTGGTAATCAACGAACAGCCTGATTTGAGGGAAAGATAAGCTTGCACAACAAATCCCTTCATTGCAAAGCGGCGACGGGCAAAGTCTTCAGATAATAGAAATAAGTCGATGTTGTTTATGCAAACTTCCGTAAAGCATTTGATATGGTGTCGAAAACAAACTCCTATTGTCAGATCCCTCATAGCGTTAATCAAATATTCCTTGGTAGATCGTTGACACAAATTAACTATGGATTTGATATGCTCCTCCTGGAAACTAGTATTCCGTGTAGTACTGCAAAGCTGTGTTCTGAATCCTTTGATTTTTATATAATATATAAATGAACTACAGCACATCATTGAGTCCTCGTCGCCACTTTATACTGGGGATTCTTTCTTCAGTGGAAGCAAAAGTAAATTTTAAGAAGTGATTCACCTGTATACTCTCGAAATCTACCCTTTGTCTTATTCAGTAATGCATACAAATGCTAACTCGTGACCATAGGAGTGGTAAATAAGTTCCCAAAATAGATAGTCCTGTAAGTCCTCGAAATTGATGCTGAACTCATTCGTTTTGATGAATATAACCGAAGGCTCTCGTTCACACATCCGCATCAGAACAAGAGTGGGTACGCTGTGCCACGCATCCATCTTAACCACTAAACAGCTTAGATCCAACGACATTTGATATATCGATTACTTCACAAATATATCTTCGAAGATTTTCATTGTTTCAGTTATAAGCCTGCTTATTTTTCAAGCATAGAGAAGGTTTTATAGATTTTGCAATTTCTATTAATTACTTTCTCTTTTAGCATTTACTTTAATTTTGGTCCTCTTAGAAATTATTCTGTGGTACTTTAATATAAAACACTCTTAACAGAGGCCAAACTTTCTGTGAGATATGTATCGTTAAGCTTTGAGGTCTCGGTTCCATAAACCTCTGCATTTTTACATTCTGATTTCAGAACGCCGTACGGAACTTCCTTATTTTTTAAATTTTCTGGGTACCTTTGTGAGTCATTAGTTTACGTTGAGCGTTTGATTGTCAATACGTCTCTGTAGGCAGAACTATGGATATAAAGCTGTTCTATAACATCAAGACCCATAAAATAGACAGTGGTTTAAAATTACGTGATCTTTTAGATATTGGATAATGAACCTGAAAGCGCAGTCTTTAGAAAGTACTGTAGTTGTTTGTTCTTAGTATTAAACTTTCGGATTGCTGATCTGCTAGCTCTGTTTCAGGATTTTTTTATTTTTATTTATACCATAAGCTATTTATTCGTAGTTTATGTGCACTCGACGGTTTCAGTATTTTCAAAGTGGACACCAGTCAGATACCTTGATTTTTGAGTCATATGTATAGCATTTAGTTCCCTTCAGAGTTTCAAGGCCACATAAAGCAGTGATGTTAATAGAATCGGCCAATTATTAGTTGTTTCATAAAAGTATGCCGTTCCAAATGTAGAAAATTTTTCAAAAGACATTACTCCTGGCGCAGATATGGTCCATTCTGCTATACTGAGAAAAGCAGCTTCAATCCTGGCAACACCGCTTAGCGTGATGTTCTCACACTCGCTAAGCTGAGGCAAAGTACCGGAAAACTGGAGGCTGGCCCACACCACACCAGTTTTCAAGGGAGGTCGACGCAGCGAACCTTCAAGTTACCGACCGGTGGCTCTCCTCTCTATACCTTCAAAACCATGGAGTCCCTGATATACGATGGTATACATGACTATTTACTGTCCTTAAATTTCTTCTCACCCTAACTATGGTTTCAGAAAGGTTTACTCCTATACAACCAACCTGCTGACTGCGGTGTACAAGCATCCTTGGTCGCAAAGGGAAGGTTGATATCATTTACCTTGATTTCTCAAAAGTCGACATTTTAAGGTTAGGGTTAACTTCACTTTATCTCAGGCCATGGAATGTCCTAGTGGGGTCAACCAGGGCTCAGTACTTGGACCTCTTTTCTTGATTTATATAAATGATCTTCCACGACAGGCATCGTCAGACATTAATTTCTGTTGATAACGCGAAACTTTGGAGAGAGAGATACGCAACCAAGACGATATGCAGGCACTTCAGGAGGATTTGACTCGACTTCAAAGTTGGTCAGATGACAACAGACTGCAGTTACAACTTAAGAGACTCCTCTCTAGTACTATCCCGAGTCAGAAAAGATTTAGGAGTTCTGGTGTTTTACTATTTGAAGTCTTAAGCTAACTGTGACAAAAATGCCTCTCGAAAAAACCTTTCACTGGTAACATTGAAGAGCATTTTTGGCCAGTTTTACAGAGGGACTTTCACATAATTCCCAACAGTTTTATTCGTCTTCATTTAGAGTACGGAAACAGTATTTCCTACCTCACGCCAAAAGGATAAAGACACTCTGGAGCGTACCCAACGGCGAGCCACGAAGTCAGTCCGGGGACTCAAATTCAAACCTTATGAATAGCGCCTCCAATCACCTAACCTTTACCCATTAGAGTATAGGCGTTTTAGAGGTGACTTTCTAATGGCTTACAGTATCCTTGACACTTCTGGACATCCCCTTAAACACCTACTTAAGTTTAGTCCCAATACCAACCTAAGGGGTAGTCAGTCAGTCAGTAACAACGTAGAACTTTTACGTACGTACATCAGTTCGAGTTGCCACACCACCTTAACACAGAGATGCAGTTGTCGATCCAAATCCCGTAGTGGTAGAGGTAGAAAGAGTGTAAGCAGTGATCGGGAAGATTAGGCTTTGGAGATGTTATTTAAAGAGTATAATTCAGTGAAATAAATTTGGAAAGAGGAAAAAAACGACATGAAGAATTCAGAAGATTAGAATTCGGGAGAACACAAAGAGTAGACGCACCTGCTCCATTGCAAATGATTTTGACCCATGTCATTCAGGGTCTCTAACCAACCTAAGGGGTAACATATTTATTATTTTATTTGAACACATGAATATTGGTACAAGAGAGCGCCTATATATATATATATATATATATATATATATATATATATATATATATATATATATATATATATATATATATATATATATATGGGGTAACACCCAGAAATCTGAGATACAACATAGCAGAACGGACTGTATACACAACTTTTACTTTTTAAGAGTTGTCAAATGCTGGAATTCGCTGCCGTCTGAACTAGTGCGAAAGACTTCATAGGAGTTCTTTAAGAGGATACTTAATCTATTCTTAAGGGCTAAGGATAATATCTTATGAGTTACCAATGTCTTTTTTTCTTCTAATCTATTATAGTTAATATACCTAGGTTCCTGCCTGGAGGTATTGGTGATCCCCTGCTACTAGACACGGAAACCTGTTAAGCGAAAGCTTCTATTCCGTCCACAACCATGTGGACTACGTTTAAACCTTAGTCAATTGTTCATGTCGAAATAATACCATACACTATCTTGCAGTTGTGATTATTAAGTAACGGTAGCTATTAACTGTTCTCACTTCGGTATGTTCACAACAGCTTTGTATTGTTGAGTGCTGACAACTGTTGTGTATTACATCTATTTTTTAATACGATTAGGAGGATTTCAACTACGCAAATTCTTTAGATGTGAAGAAATAGTCACATACTGTCGATTTTATATAGCTATGTTAGACTGCCTCGAGTGGATATTAATTTCCGTTATTGTAGCGTTTATGAAATCACGTGTTGTGTACATGACTTATGTAATTACTTTCTAATTCATCCTAAGATGACTAACTGATGGAAATCGTCAGCATTGATTCGCCGAAGTTCCGAATAGGAGATCTGAAAAAGCAGTTTATTTCCTGTTTACCCGATGAACATAAAATATTGAAGGAAAACGAAGCTAGTGATCTTCTTACATCTGAGTTTAAAAAGATCGTAACTGATTCTTCAATATTCAAGCAGCTTGAGAATGATTGCAGGTAAATCTATCTACATTTTGAAATTTTTGTCTAGTTTAGAAAATTTATACGTCGATAGAGAGTACACGACCTTAGAAGAAATCTTAAAAATCATACCATCGAGGAAAGATGAAAAGCAACTGAAGACCCTAACTCATTTACTGAAAGAAACTGAAGGTTTGAATTCTAGAACATCAGTCCTCACAGCAATGCAAAGAAATCCTCGACCACTTGTGGATATGTCTTACCGAAATTCTGTTGATGAATCTCCAGAGGCCACAGAAATTATCTCGGATGTATTTGTGACCGTTCTTGTCTACCGACCATTTAGCCTTCCTAACATTGATCCCTGTGCACAGGTATTATTGGTCATTTTTAGCGACTTTGTAAGTCTCGGCAACTAGTCATTACTCAGAGGTTGGTGCTGTTGTCCAAACAAAATCTAACAGTCTTAAGGGAAGCTATAAAGTGTTCACAAGATAAAGTAAGTCTTAACCCTGTGTAAACAGTTATCAGGTTTGGCTAGGAGACTGTAGCGAGGCCCTTGATAATCCTGAACTGCGTGTTTCGGCGGATAAAATATACCCATCTTCATACTTTTTCATTGAAGGCACATTTTATGATGATTTGCGGAACGCAAATAGCAAGAGCCTTGGGGAGTAAGTTATTTTGTTTACTTACATTATGCCCTAGAGAGGTTATACAGTGGGCGAAAAGCAAGAAAGAACTTAAGACGTATGGGCCTTTTACATCATTACCAATGGAATCAATGACTCTCGAAAATCTTGTTATTTGTATTGGAAAGCCATATTTCTTCGTACACCAAGGAAATTGTGAACATATGATTATCTTCTCCGATATCCGGTAAGTTTAAAAACTCATTCCTTAGTTCTGGCATTCCGCTTTATCTATTATACTAGCAATTTATTTGAAATTGTAGTTAACCTTAACCTAATCAATTGCGTCACCAAATCGACCATTCTGGGATCCCATATCGGTATTTCGAGGACAACTTACATTCGAGACATGGGACTCTTGAGCCCTAGCAAGTGAACCCTGTTGCTCGGTTGGACAAAGGCTTCGGACATTAAAAGGATCACCGAATAGTTTAGAGCGTGGCTTCAGGAGACTTTTGACGCCATTTTGTAAACTCAATTAGTCAGCACTAGTGGCATCTTTAGAAGTTGAGGATTTGTGTTTAACGAATTATTAATGAGTAAAAGAGGGATTGCTTGTGAATAAGGTGACACCAAGTTCTACTAGATATATAAGGGTGGTTGTTATTTCCGGGCTCCGGACCTCGCGGAATCATTCTTGAAGGAAGGAACGAATTTCCACTTTACTCTTGAAGAACCTGAAAAATAAACTGGTCTTGGTGTAATTTTGACTAACTAAAATGAGTCAGCGCAAAGCTCAAATGCTTGGAGTAATCAGTAAATTAATATTAAAAGCAAATGAAAGGGAAATATGGTCAATAAATTGTTAAATGAACAACCACGTGAGTGTGGGCCCTCATTATTCTTCGCATTACTGTGCAATCACAAAACTGCGGCATGTTGCTGTTGGCTTTAATATTAATTCTAAAATCGCAACCTGTCAGAATGTTTTATTTTTTTTATTATTAATGGCTTTATTCTGTTATAACGCTCGCTTTTATTTCGTCTAATGTTATAACAGTTGGGTTTCCACTTTTATACGTATGGGACGCTAATTTACCTTAGACAAATATCTACACTATAATCCCTCCTAGTGTCTATTCTACAGGACGTCAACAGAACTCAAATCAAGAACACATGACTATCCTGACCACAACATAAATATACTTCCACACCAAAAACCCGACACAATCTAACAATAATGTACAATAATAAGTGAGAGTAATAATAAGGATAGGGCAGTATATAACTCATCTGACGCCTGTCAGACTATCTACATGTCTGACTAAGCAGACAACCAATCCTTGTCATTCTCGCCCACACATCAGTTTCAATGCCTTTAAACGTTATTTTGTCATTTGTTTCAGAAATAAACAGCACGTTTTTCGGTCACTAGTTGTTTATTAGATATGGGATGATGTGAAAGCATTATGATCGACATTCTGACTGATACATTAACCAGGTGACTCCGCAACACATTGTACTGAAAACACGCCTCTAACAGTTTCAAATATACATAACTCGCGAATTCCTCATCACTAGAATAAAAAAAGGCAATTTGCATGCTGTATGCTATCGTTTAATTTGGAAGTTTAAAGCAATAGACAAGTTTCAGACAGCTATTTTCACAAATTTTTTTTTAAACTTCAGTCTTGTAGATCGTGATTCATGTCAAACTGAGTCCTTATTCCCAATGCTCACCGGTCGATGCAATGTACGTGTAATGCATTGTTTCGTTTGCAGACGTCTTGCATCCCGCTGGATAGTTACAGAGTGTGGGACCATTCTACCTGTTGATCCATGTCCAATATGTGACGTATGCATCCGACTGCTTCTTTACACTGCTGATGGAAAGAAGATTAATCCGCGTTTTAGAGTTTTGATGTATTGTGGAGAGGAAATTGTAGTGTGAGGCCTCATGTAAATAATTTAAAATAAATACTTTGAAAGAGCATTTCACTTTTCACAAATCGAACTCTGAAATTACTCTAATAATAATCTTCAGCTGTTTTTCTGTAGAATTTCGATAATCTAATTAACAACACGTTGTTACATATCCTTCACTGATAGTTTACATTTCCACCTAATTCCTATATATTTCAGACAATAAATCTTATGGGTTTACCTAGAAAGAAAAACAATGAACAAGCAGCGAACACAAACCCATCGGTAGGAGAATCAAGCGCAGATAAGGTTGCGGCTGCTACTTTCGGTGTTTTATCTGAAATTTCAAGTCTCTTAAACACAGGTAAACATGGTAAATTTAATCAGAATCCCCAGTTGAAGTCCACTTTAATACTAGAAACGACTAAATTATCTACTGTAACAACACAAACTCTGGTTAAATAAAGATCGATCTTATATTAATTAGTTGAAAAACAAAAAGTGGTAGTTGCACGTCACATCTTATTAAGACTTATCAAATGTTAGGTGAACATTGATTTTAGATCCTCTGAAGAATTGTTCTATTATTACTACTATCATCACAAAATCGTAGCTCAAAAAATGTCCCATTTATAAGCCTTATTGACTATCGCACTTTTGATTGTGACTAGATTTCTGTAAACGAATACATCTTAGCTCTAAATATCTTATAGCACTGCCGATTTCATAATCATAGTGGACATTAAGATCTTGGTCTCACAACTTCCCACGGTGGAAATGTCACTGAAAGTGGGTATTATCATGTTTCTTAATTACACAAGTATGACATGCAGTTGTGACTGGTTGGTCGAAGGGTTCTACATTCATTTCATCGTAAGATGTCACAAATATTATGTAAGCTTACTATATGCTGTTCACTCGAATCCGGAGTTGTGAGAAATTATGAATGGAACTTTCAGGATTACCTACAACCCTCATCTTTATCCGAATTCTTTGTAGATGTCCTGTCACAAATGGTGGGTTTGTATGGAACTAGGAAATGCTATTGGTTCCTCCTGTAATGAATTAGCAACAAATTACTTTCTGTCTAAATTTTTCATTAAACATATAGTGTACCCGGGTTAACTTCAATTCACGTAATTTCCATTTTAGGTTTAGATAATGAAGAATTGCTGATGTGCATCAAACTAATTGAGAGCGGTGTGAACCCAACTACTCTAGCTTTACTTGTAAACAATGTGAAACAACAGTGCGAACACCTTTCTGAACTCAAAAGATAAGTAAAACTTTAAATCCTGTATTGCATATTCGGAGATTTCAAAATAAAGATTTATTAACAAGAAAAAAATCACAGCTATTCAACGAGTGGTGTTAGCAACAACCTTGTAGTTTGATTAAATTTGTAAACAAAGTGATTACCAATAGTCCAATGTAAGAAACAAAGAATTAATACAATACATAAGTAGGATATGTCATATAGTAATAAGGAAGCCTTTCAGTATGACAACTCAACCGATGGCATCAGCTATTATTCGGCTAACAACGGGATCAGATGAACGTACTGTGATTTGGAAAGTTATACCCTGTTCGTTTGAATGAAGGGATGCATCAGACAATACTTTAGCAAGTTTACATAAGGCCAAAACTTGGTACCCACCACGATATACTCCGGACAGAAGGAGCTGATGAGATGACTTTCCTTCATGAGGCATATGATCAGTTTGATCACAAGGCTGAAGTCCAAGGTGTTCGATAATTTGACGCATCGTTTCTAAAGTATGAGAAAATAACTAGTGATTTAAAGCGAAGAAGTATAAGGATTCATTACATATTTGTAAAAATCAGTGTTTTACAATAAATATCATTTGATGATCATGAGCAGCTACACAGTATATGTTGCCCTACTCTCTAAGAAAACAAAATTATAAACAATTCAGTTGTGTTCTTTCAAAAGCATCGACAAAAGTAATGTAACTCCTTACTACACAATACATAAAAACAATAACCTTAGCTTAATTCTGTTAATTGTGTAGACCGAGGCAGAGTACACCTATTTCTTTCTCATAATTAACGCCATTTTTAAGGTAAGAAAAGAGATTAGCTTCAAACAGTTCTTTAATGAGAAAAAATGTGGTAAATTCACTAGACATTTTCATATAGCAAAATAATAGTGAGCCCTATAGATTTTGAGCAGGTGACAAAAGAACGGTAAAACTCGAGGGTCTCCTATAGTTTTAAAATATTAAAAAAAACCATTGTGATTATAAGACGTAAGTTGTTTTTATCGTTGTCAACATGCTTTACTTTAAAATACTTCTTAATATACTATACCCTCTTTGAAAACAAATCTATTGATAAATTAGACTTCGTTAAGATACTTTATACTTTTGTTTCGATAATTAAATAACGTTAATTTAAGTTAATAGAATATCTAACATTTTGATGCACACACTGGGTTTGTATTAATCAAATTGATCTGCGTAATTCATTGATCATTTAGTTCGAATTAACAGACTGCAAGTGTAAGATAAAGTATCAACAGTAAAGTTTAGCATACCTTTAATAGTCTTGTGCTTCACCAGCATATACGTTTCCTCTACTTCAGTTTCAGGACTGAGTTCCTGCCAAGCCAATGTAAAGTTTTGTTTCGAAACACGTTGAATATGGTCTGAAATACCTAGGACCAGGTCTTCCAACTGTTATAAAAGTTTGAAGTGTTAGAAAATGAGAAACCAGAAAAGTGGATGGGCTATAACTGGATATGCTATAAGATTAGATACCATAAGAAAAGCATACTTGGCGACCTTAACTTAATTGTTATTTTATAAGTAAAAATGTATGATGGCTAGCTGTGGAATCTACGATATGCGTTCCGTCATATTGGGGACTTGTCGGTTGGATTTACCGGCATCACCGGGTTGATGTTCACTCCAGGACTCGAACCCAGTACCGCTTGCTCCAAATGCCGTCACAAAAGGTGCTGGGTTCGACTCCCGGATTGAACATCAACATTTGGATGCAGTTACATCTAACTAACAAGTTCCAAATAGTACGAAACCCGCATCCTGGATTGCACTGCTAGCCCCCTTCCATCTTTGCATATAATGCTTGTGACACATGGCAATGCGCATATGCCAGTAAGAGACTGGTCGATTGCACTCCTAAACATCGATGGAAAAATAAGAACGAACAATGCAAAAATTAATTAATTATTATGTGATGTTCTCAAAGAAATGAACCTTTTTTAGCTTTACTAACATACAACTGCAATTTGTTTACGTCTAACTGGAACATAGTGCAGATCCACTTTTGTTACTTAGTTACTTTATTGACAATGTTCGACTATATATGCGCCTTGAAACTAAATATTGAGTAAATTAACAATGTTGACGGGACTTCGTGTGGATTACTGAATACTTCACTTGATACGACTGTTTAGTATTTTTTAGATCTAAAAAACTACTTGCTAAAGAGCAATGACTACGTTTGTTAAACGTGTGAGGTTTAAAATGGATCAAATATGAAACAAGTTAAACCTTTGGATTTATTATCATTGTTCATCCAAACTTCTTATGATTTTCGGGTACTAAAATAAGTCTAGCCATGCAATTACAAAATTAGGTGCATTATATGGATAAAATATTTCCTGTAAATGTCTGGTGAGATATTTAGAAAATGATGAGAAGACTTGGCTAAGCAATGTTCATACCAAAAGTAATCGTACGTCTTCTAACTAATTACTGTATAATTCCAGTATACGAGATAGCTGTAGAAAAGCAAGATGTGTCTATGAACTGTGATTAATGATACAAGTATAGTCTTGACATGCCAGAACGACTCAGTAAAAGATAAATTATATTTACAGAATCAAAGTTTGTGACACGATGTGTAACACAAACCTCCATTGGGCCCACAAATAACTTACTTGATATTCGTCTGGCAAACCAGGATCCGAAGGATCAGAGTCAATATCTTTGATAGTAAATTTCAATGTGTTGATAAATGTAGCAGAATGACATTCTAGGTCCTCCGGCAACTCAACCAGAACATATGTCACAGCGGGAGAATTATATTTTAAGCTTTTGCAAGGTACTGTGCAGACAATATTAAACATGGGATCGTCCGGCTCACACGAAACATAGACATTCTCCAAAACTTGGTCTGCCATTGTATTGACACAATCAAACTAAAACAAATGATTGAATGAAATTAGAGCGAGCAGAGAATAAACAGAAAGTTACTCACTTCTATATGGTATTGAATTACTTGACAATCTATAGTTCGATGTGATAAGACTAAGAAAAGGTGAATCCGGACTGTTTATATAGCAGCAGTGGTCTAAATCTTGTATATATAGGGCCTAGAATCGTGGTCTTAAGGAAATGTAATGAGATATTAAGAGCTAGCAGGCAAACAAAACGCGAATGTGGTTCATTGACTCATCATTACTGTTTTCTGGATCAAACGAAACTATATCTGTATTGTCGAACTATATAAGCTTCAATAATTAAATTGACGAAAAATAACTCAATACTCAGAACCAATTGTGTTTACGTGTAAAACGTGCTTCATGCTTGCTAATAAATGTTTGGAAATCTGACTCACCTGTAAGACTAAATGCCTTGTGAATAAATGTTTTATGCATGTTACTACATATTCAGTGTCAGATTCAGTTAATTCTACTAAAGAAGAAGATTTAAATATGGAGCCAAGACCAGAAAATTCGGGTATAGATGCCAGCTGTTCAGCAAATGAATCTTGAATACGTTTCCCTGACATCTGAGAAGTAAGTGATGCGTTTCGACCTTCACCAGCCATCGTATTAGATTTAGCTTGAAAACATCAGAATTTATTGAGAAAAAATTAAAGTACTTTGTCCTGATAATTGTGAAAAAAAACAAATGAATATATCGAACTAGAAACAAGATTGTAATCTCGGACTACACATATCAATGTATTTTGCAGCAGAGAAATGTTAAGTGAGAGTGCATCCATCAAAGCAAATAATTTCGAGTTATATCATCTGATACTGAACCACTGAACACTTGTGTGTAAATCAAGACAATGGTTTCAAATCTCCATATACTTCAAAGCAATGACCAGTGTCTCAAGAGTGCCGCCATATTTTCGTCTGACTATCCGTGATCTTTTCTAGTTTAGCTGTACTGTTTGAGTAACTCACTTATACAAACCAAATTAGTTCTACCATGAGATTATTATTTCAAAATCATAGTAGACTACTAGTTATTATACATTTTGTCCGCTCGCGATATATTAGTGTTTTTATTATTTTTAAGGAAATATATTTTTAGGTTGATCACAGAACAGTCAGTCAGCTACAACGTAGGACCAGGCACATATGTGCATCGGTCCAGGTTGCCATACCGCATCAGCACAACAAGATGAACACCGGATTCATAACAGTGGTTAGGTAAAAGGTGGTAATATATAAGAGAAAGATTGCATATAGAGATATAGTACAAGAAGAAAGAATTGGTTAGTAGAAAGAAAGATATGAAGCGCTTTTAATCTCTTAGTTTAAGGGAAGAAAAAAAGTGTATACACCGACGCCATTGTGATCGATTCTGAGCCATGTCACCAAGAGTCTCCAACCATTGATTACGATAGTCACGCGGACCCCAACCAAGTAGTCTGCATCTACCAACATGGCTCAGACTAGAAGTTAGTGACTTCAAGCACTGATGCCACGTTTTGGTTTGGCCGCCCCTAACTTTCTTCCAACCATTTCTAATACCGGATAGCATTGCACAGATAAGATGTGATGGGCGATAATTATACATATAAAACTCCCACAGCAAAAATAGCTCATATAAAATGACATCATCTTTAACTCGGTAACAATATTTTAAACGATGTCCACGAACTTATTTCAAAATTAATTTTTTATTGAATACTCCCTCGAATCATTATTAATACGCATAAGACAGTTTTGCTTACCTTTAATCTTTACAACATCCGATTCAATGGCAGAACTAAGATCATTTGGCTGAACAATATCAGCTATTGGGACTGTTGCCAAAGAGAAAGGACTACCAGCAACTGCGTGGGAGTTGTGCACATAATCCAACAAAGCACGCTCTAAACCAGATGGACTTAGATGCATTTCTTCACTTAAAAGGTAAGCAGATTTTAATACTACTTGGTTATGTGATAAAATATAGTGGTAGAAAGCTGCGCGATCACGAACCTCATCGTCTTCATCAATCATAATTCTAGACATAGATGAAACAAAAACAAGATGGTTTCGAAGGTAAGTCAAGACAATGACCATTGAAAGGATCCGTTTGTTTAATACATAGAAAAAAATAATAGCGAGATTAGTCGTTGATAATGTCAATGCTGAAAGTTCCCCAACAACAGTAACAGAATGGTGAATTCAAAAAGCTGGAAAAAAGCAAAGGACAAGTCAGTAAGTCTTCGTGAAGGAAATACAAAAAAACGTGACCAGCGTTTGAATGCATTGTCTATTAATGTTTTCGATGTAATTATCTATTGCAGTATTGTTCAGAATATTGTCGTGAATAAAACTGATATGAACAACAAACGGCTGTGATAAAAATGCAGTGTACTCCGCACAGATCTCTAGGCTACCTCCTTTCCAAATGTGAACAACAACGACCCTTGTGTTTGGTTTATTCAGACTAACTATTATTGTTGAACACTAAGGGTTGAGTTATAGCTTATGACAAAATGTCATCCGAATCGATAACTTCGACACGGGTGTCTGCTTCCCTTATCTCTACCTAACCTTGTCATAGCCATCCTTATGGAGATAACGCCCCAATTGTCTGACTCATCAGAAATCTATACTCAACCAACAAACTCACTTACTGACTTAGAATTCGATGATATATTTCTGTTAAATGAAGATACTGAAAAAATGGAAGCTCCTGACCACCTTAAACAACAATGCAAACGTTTCTCTCCATCACATTGCAGAATGTTATTCCAGAACTGGTCTGCGCCAACGCCTGAACTAATGATAGGAAGTGAAGTAATTAGGTACGTCGATCTCTTGACCTATCTTGAAAATCTTATAAAACTTGGTTGATGAAATAGCTCAAAATCGTTCGCAATGGCACGAGTACACTTATTTTTTGTCTGCCCTTACATTCTGTATATTTAAATTTTGGCGCGAAATTTTCTCGTTCATATGGCAAAAAAACATTTTGGTATTATAGCTTGATATCAGTTCGTAATGAAAAGTGTGACTTATTTTTAACCCTCACGCTCAACAGTAAATCCTAATTTGTGACAGTTATTTAAAACCCTCATTTAACCCTTGTAAGTTGGTCGAAATTCTCAGCGTCATTTAAGCATCCTTCAAAGGTCGTCTCTAAATTAGTCTCACCGACAGATTTTGCGTTGCGTATGACTGATTGACTAATATTGTCCATTAACCCCTTCTCAATACTTATGGATTTTAAAAGCTTGTAAGCAATCACTATGCTGAATATTTTAGAAATGAAACAGAAGAGGTTGGTTCTATATTTCTTTATTTTTCTATCCTCGCAGGACGAAGGGACAAGTACATTATAATTCAAACATAGCTTTAATTAATTCGAAATGTCATAAGATGTAGACCATAAAATGTGAAGCTCTAAAATACTAAAATTCTAGATCCTTTGGTAGACTCAAGCTTTTAAGAATTATCCGATTACTGAGACATTTTTAACACCTATCCCTACATTGAAATGTCCCATGTTTTTTTTAAAATCCTCACCTGTTATTTAATTGTTTATCCAAATTAAATTTTGTACGTCGTTTTACAAACACTATGTTGGATTCCACGCTACAGGAATATTCGAAGTTTGTACGAAGTGCTATTGCCAAATCTAACAAAGCTCAATATGAACAAAAATTTATAAATAAACCAGACAACAAAAAGTTGTGTATACCGTTTAAGAAGTACAAGAATACTCGGAAGTAATTCCTCATTGTGTGCAGCAAACCTCGCCAGAGCTGTTGTAGCTGTGCACTTAATGGGAGCTGATTCGAGCATAACTCTATTGTAAATGTAACGCGTAAATTGACGAGGACGTTTGAGGTAGGGTCCCTCCCGTCCTAACAGATGGAGTATACGCTGTGTTAGTTTAACATGTTCACAATCCTCTATGAAGTCACATAATTGTAACAAACCTATATTCAGATTAGAAATAAGAAACACATATTTAGTAGCAAAGAATAAGCACCTCCAAGCGTTAACTTTTATTGTGTATAACAAATCAAAGAGTAAAAGGGGATAGACTGTTTAGCAGGAGACGACCTACATGTTTGAAATATTTATCAGTACGATACTGTTTTGAATTGAGTTTTGGTAGAGTTCAACCTCGATTATTAAGTTTGTTATGTGAGAAAGTATAAAAATTGCTAGTTAGCCATTTAGCATTTAATCAAAAAAAAACCACAGGCTCGAACCACGCGTTCCATAATTTTTTAGGCAGTTGGATAATATCATTGGTCTAAATCAGATTACAAACATTCATATTTAGCGAATGAGTTACTGTAACCCTACATAATGAACATATGGTGGAGATCCTTCTACATGAAACAAACGTAAAAAAATATTTCACGATGAGCGAACCTTGTGTAAAGATTAGTCTGCCCAATAAACTTCCACTTACGACCCCATGATGACATATACGTAAACAAAGATTACAGTAATTACGGAAATGTTAGACTACTAGATTTAATCCAACAATTATTTATGGGGCATGGTCAGACAAACATGATACGCAGCTCCATATTGGCACACACCGTTAGCAGTGGTTATATGGTCGAGAAAACTACTTAGTTTCAAGTGATCTATCGTATACTTCCGTCACTTCTCAATGAAACTCAATTTCGTCTTGGCCATATAGCAGAAACTATAGGGATCCGAGTCTATAACTCCACTTCATGTGTTCAGAAAAAATTCGTGACACCCCTGTCACTTATTTGTCTGGATATATGACTTATTAAACGGTTTCGCTGATTTACTTACGTGCTGTATTTGTTTTTTTGTCCTTTACCTCTTTTCGTCTATATTCGGATTATTTACACGACTTTTTGTTGTGTAATTTTATTTATTTATTCCAGTTTGAGCTACTTCCTATGTTAAACTCTTGACTAGAACTTTTATTATTTCTATCACTACTAGTACACCTATCTTCTTACCACTAATTTGTATTTTTCCTGTTATTACGTTTATTTGTGTAACATGTTTCATTGTGATCATTGACTCACAAACTGCTTCGATTGGTTTAATATTTTTATATACCCAGACAAATATTTCATGCGTACAAGAGTAAGAGCTGATGACAGCCCGATTGAGAACAATATTGTTCGCTCGCATGTGTTCTGACTTACAACATGGAAATTTTTAACGAACTACTCTGTAAAAATCTCCAGAAAAACATAGGGCAAAAGTAAATCATCAATGCTGGTGAACTACTTGCAATTACGAAAACCACTGTTTAGTCTGTATCTTACATTTTTAGTAACTCAAATAGTCATACTGTGATCAGTCGATTGTGGAAGAATGGGATTTGTTTGGCCTCCTTGTGGTCAGCTGATGTGTCAAACTAAGTGAACTGATGTAATCAACTTGGCTGGGTCTGGCGCTTAGTGAGACCACACAAGTAAACACTGATTTTCTGTGAGCTTTTTATAATTTGAAGCATGTTTTCTTATCGGTGAGAATTCTGAGCGCAAAAAATATTTATATAATCAAAATGTCTACATAACGACTGACGAAACTTGGGGATCAAAGCAAGCTAATTAAGTGAAAGGAATAGTAGAATCTGAAAACCGCAGAAAGTTATTTCATCCAACAAAATCAGTTATCAGAAATCAGTGTCGTAAGACATGTAGTACTCCCAGTTACTTTGAACATTTAAGCTGAAAGAAATGGACGGCAAACAACATCCTTGATCCTCCTACAACCTTGACTAAATTCAACCGCAACTCCATAATTAATAAGGACCGATGAAACATATGGTGCGTAAATGAAGAATGAATTTCATTTACTACAGTGGGTGGTAAACAGCTTATATAACGGCCCTCGCCCCACTGCATTTTTAAAGATGGAGACCTTTTAGTCAAAAAGAAACCATTGTAGTACCCGTCTTGAAAAAAAACACAATAAGTGCTAATCACGAAAATACAGTTCTACTACCAGTTACGTTGAGAATACTAGTTGGTGTACATCAATGAAGTAATTGTGCCATGTTTCATGCATTTCAATCGTCCACTAACCTAAATGTAATCTAATATCCTGGCTGAAATAAACTAGTATTTGGAAAAGGCTACCACCAAGATACGGAACCAATTCATCAAGTTAGTGCATGTTGGTCTTATCTTCATAAGATACGATAGAATACTTCTATGAAGTCTTTGACATGATATATTACACTTTTTGTGAGTACGAATATCATATAATTCTGAGATTTGCTAAACTATTTCTAAATTAATCTGAGCTTTCAGATTCATAAGCATACAAATAATTAATCGCTTACTTTACAAACATTTACGATGCTATATGTTACTTACGCATATCCAATGACACCTGTTCACGATACCAAAGAAAGGCGATCTCAGCAAGTGTGATAACTACAGAGGTATCACACTACTGTCAGTAACAGGAAAGGTCTTCAAAAGGGTGTTGTTAAACAAAATGAAAAACTCTGTAGGCGCCAAACTTCGAGACCAACAGGCTCGATTCGCAAGGGTCGATCAGGTATCGACCAAATTACAACACTACGGGTCATTGTGGAACAATCACTTGGATGGAATTTACCACTCTGCATCAACTTTATTGACTACGAGAAAGCATATGATAGAGTGGACAGAACAACACTAAGGAGGTTTCTTAAACACTACGGAGTGCCTGAGAATATAATCAATATCATACGGAATTCCTATGATGGATCAAAGTGCAAGGTCGTGCATGGAGGACAGCTGACAGACTCGTTCGAAGTAAAGACCTGTGTCAGGCAAGGTTACTTACTCCCACCCTTTCTCTTTCTACTGGTGATCGACTGAATAATGAAGACGATAACATTTGAAGGGAAGCATGGGATACAGTTGACGTCTAGGGTGCAGCTGGACGATCCAGACTTCGCAGATGATATGGCTTTTCTATCGCACGCGCAACAACAATTGCAGAAAATGACCAGTGTAGCGGCAAGATTCTCCAATACAACACAGCGTGCACCAATCGAATTACACTTGACGGAGAAGATTTGGAAGATGTGAAAACCTTTACATATCTGGTCAGCATCATTGATGAGCACGGTGGATCTGATGCAAATATGAAAACGCAGATCGGCAAAGCAAGAGCAGCATATCTACAATTCAAGAACACATGGGACTCAAAACAACTTCCTACAAGCTAACAACAAGGTCAGAATTTTCAATACAACTATCAAGACAGTTCTACTGTATGGGGCGGAAACCTGGAGAACTGCGAAAGTCATCATCCAGAAGATACGAGTGTTTATTAACAGCTGTCTACGAAAAATACTTCGAATCCGTTGGCCAGACACTACCAGTAACAACCTACTATGGGAGAGGACAAGCCAGATCCCAGTGGAGAAAGAAGCGCCGAAAGTGGATAGGACACACATTGAGGAAAGCACCCAACTGCGTTACAACGCAAGCCCTCACATGGAATCCTCAAGGCCAAAAAGGAGAGGAAGACCAAAGAACACATTATGCCGAGAAACGGAGACAGACATGAAAAGAATGAACAACAATCGGATATAACTAGAAAGAAAAACCCACAACAGAGTGGGTTGGAGAAAGCTGGTCGGCGGCCTATGCTCAATTGGGAGTAACAGGAATAAGTATATAAGTAATATTCAATTATTTGATGTCAGGTTTAATGACAATTTTGGGAGAGTTAGTGTTTTAAAAAAACAATTTGAAATCAATTCTCTGATGATCAAGAATTTCAAATGATTTTCCTACTTTGTTAAATTTTAGAAATGAGAAAAGTTTACAGAAACGCGTAAGACAAACCTACCTATACTTTTGGCTTCTGGAATTTGTTTGATAATTGATTCGATAGCAACCACAACTGCTTTTTTAAAAGTGTATCCAGCCGAATCACGAAGAAGTCCAGATAAAAAGTTTAATAACACTGTATACTTTTTGGGGTACTTTGTTGCTAAAGCATGGATAGATTCCAATACGACTATTTTAAATTCATCGCTTATTTCACTCATGAACGGAGATACATGTTTTAGCAAACGTTCAACATTCGACTCGTTACCTGTCTAAAAAATTTAATAAATTAATAATATTCTAAACGGTGTAATTTCATATATTCTATAACTATTCCACATTACAAGTTATATTGCGCCAAACTGAATTCTCACACATTTTAATAACGTTGAAAGAGGAAACCAGAAAAATGAGAAAGTAGAAAAGTGAATGTTGAGTATTCACAATAGTATTAATTATCCATACTTCTACCAACCGATGTTTTATACAACGAAAATCCTACAGAATGGGGATAACTTACCAATCACTTTAGGCAAACCACTGAACTAGTTTAAAAGAAACTCTATGTTTAAGCTCTGAGCTACTAAAGAATCTACAACAATAAAATATAAATCAATGCGGTGTTTCCATGTCTGTTTTCACCTTGTAGGTCTTAAATTAGATCTACGATCGTTGAAAGGGCACAATAGTGTACCAAGTACAAGCCAAGTACGTTGAATCAAAAAACTAATATCTAACTGTCTTGGTGATTTTAGATAGTTTATGGCCGCCAACATCAGTTACTTTAGGTATTAAAGAGGGATTATGGTGGATACACAACTCAATGATATTGATTACTGAAGATCGTTTGGGAATTGCTAACTGCTACCGACCAAGGTTTGTGCAGATTCTGATCATAAATAAGAATGAAGCATATAGTGTACCGCAGTTTTAATCACTTACCTTTAATAAAGTTGTTATTGCAAGCGTTGCAATACTTCTATTAGGATCACCGATTAGTTGCTCAAGATCGAGATTACATGCAGTTACCGCTGCAGGATGGTTACTGGCGACAGCATTTAACGTATGTACAGCAGCATATCGTAATGCAGGTTTGGAAGACGTACAAAGCAGTTGTAAAACACCCACAGCAGGTGCTAACTCTTTAGCTGTTAAGTTTCGGAGGCTAATTATTGCTCGAGCTGCTTCATATATGACCATCTCCGATTTATGGCGAAGAGATGATTCCAAAAACTCATATAATTGTGGATTATTCCTTAAGAAAGTGTGAAAATATGGTTTAAAGGGTGGAGAAGACATTTCAAAATGGCAAACTGCGTTTGAAGACTGATTCTTGAGAAGACAGAATAGCACATTATACATATCATACAAAATATGGGGATCAAAGTCAGAAATCATTTCTCAGTATAGTGTATGCACACAGCAATAGTGTGACGCAGACAGTTCAAACAAATTCGATTTGTTTTGGAATACAGGAAGTATAGGACATTACTATGGCTTATACACCTTGAAATTTTAACAATACATACGACATACGTCACGCGAAAATGACGACAATATATGACCAAACGTGGTCTATGAGCTAGTTAAGGTTTTGAAAAGCATGAGAACTGATATGCAATAGTCGTAAGCACATATATATGGAAGAATTACTCCGATTCTAGTGTGGTTATTCACTTGAACTCACCTCGGCGAAACGGAGCCGACGAGATACACCGTGTGTATTTGGCGACCCGATGGCCAGTTCTCATGGACTTGCAGGTGTAGGCATAGCACTGAGTACGAAGGCAGAACAAGCACTATTAGAGTGGATCCCCGTTAGCTGTCGCCCATGTATTGTTCGATTAAACGGCTCCGTAAGAACTCGGAAAAGTAGGGGCATACATCGTTGCCTTTTCGTCGTTTCTGCCTACGCTCCCTTCTGAAAATCTTCAGTAAGCTAAAGGTTCAGACATAGTACTCATAGCAGATGACTTTAAGGCCCACGTAAGTAGCTGAAACCAAGCAGAAAGACATTTAGGTGGGTATTTTACTATTCGGGCTCAGTGAACAGATAATGGTGATCGTCTGCTGCAACTGTGCTCAGACAAAAGTTTATTTTTCAGTCAGTCAATAATAACGTAGAACTTCGTACGTACGTACATCAGTTCGAGTTGCCACATCAAATCCCGTAGTGGTAGTAACAGTATAAACAGTAATCGGAAAGATTAGGGTTTGAAGATGTTAGTCAAGGAGTATAATACACAGAAATAAATTTAGAAAGAGAAAAAAGAAACGGACATGAAGAATTCAGAAGATTAGAATTTGATAGAACATAAAGAGTGTATGCAACTGCGAGATTGCATGTCACTCAGCGTCTCTAACCATCGGTTGGTATCATCTCACGGTCCCCAAACAGGTGGTCTACACCTACCAACATGACTCAGTCCACTTGTCAGTGACTTCATGGATTTGTGCCATGTTTTGGTGTGGTCGCCTCTAGCTTTCTTCCAACCTACACCTATACCACTGAACATCGCACATCGAGGCAGTCGGTGGTTGTGCATACGAAACACGTGTCTCAGCCATCTCAACTGATGAAGTTTCACTACGTCAACGATTGATTTGCCAACCTTACCTAGTACCCGTTTCCTAACAAATGCATTACTTACTCGATGGTCCCAGGATATACGAGCAATATTTCGAAGACACCTATGATCAAATACTAGTAACCTACGGATATCCTCTACTCTTACCGGCCATGTTTCACTGCCATAAAGTAGGATGGAACGAACTGCTGCGCACTAAACACGTCCTTTGGTTGATAGACAGATATCTCGCCTGCGCCATAAATGACGCAAGTTGGTAAAAGCTGGTCGAGCCTTCTGTATCCTTGCTGAAATTTCGTCACACACCAGACCACAAGGGCTGATGAGACTTCCAAGATAAGTGAAGCGATCGACACGCTCAATTTTTTCACTCCCTATCATTAGTTCGGGTGTCGATGCAACCCAAACCTGAAGCAACATTTTGCATTTCGAGGGGGAGAATCGCATCCCGAACATGCTTGCATTGTTGCTTAGAGTGGTCAGAAGACTCTGCATCTTCGCCAAATAGAACTATGTCATCGGCATATTCTAAGTCAAAAAGTGAATTTCCCGGTAGAAGTTCAACTCCTGGAAATTTAGATGAGGAAAGTGTCATCTCTAAAAGCACATCAACGACAAAGTTAGACAAGAATGGAGAGGGTGGACAGCCCTGACGAACACCACTTGAGGTAATCAATTCTGATGACAATTCGCCATTGCTCTCACTCGACCAGTTGTGTTCGAGTAGAGAGCCTTTACAAGGTTAATGTACCTCTTTGGTACTCCTTTCAGTGAAAAACACTACCATAGAACCTTACGAACAACAGAGTCGAATGCCACCTTAAGGTCGAGAAATACTACGATTGTGGGGTGTCTAATTGTGTGTCTGTGTTCTAGAACCTGACGTAGTGTGAATATTTGGTCTATACAACCACGTCCAGGTCGAAAACCAGCCTGGTTTTCTCTAGTCCGCTCTTCACCAGCTTTAGTTAGGCGTCGAAGTATTATTATTAATATTTTAGATACTATATTTGTCAAACTGATTCTTCTGTGATTGTCACAAGAGGACTTCTGTCCTTTCTTATAGACTAGCACAATCAGTGATTGAGACCAGTCAGATGGGATTAAGTCCAGTTCGCAAATTCTACCTAAGACCTCAGTTAATCTCACTGCTAATACTGAACCAGCATGTTTAAAAATCTCAGGAGTAAACTTGTCAGGACCTGCTGCTCTCCCTCGCTTCAAATTTCCTATGGCTTTTTCAACTTCGTAAAGAGACGGAGGACCTACATTAACTTGATATTGATGTTGACTGCAGATTGTGGGAAACCGAAGTGTGGCTGAATACCAGTTGAACTGATCCCTAAAGTGTTCTGCCCATCGATCCAATTTCCTGGATTGAGAATGTATAATATGTCCATCATTCTCTGAGAGTGTTTCGCTAACAGTCGGTTTCCTAATCCTGGTTTCCTTAACGAGTCTGAACAATTGTCTGCTATTACCTATTGCTGCTGCCTTTTAAATCTCTTATGCTTTCGCTACCCACCACTGTTCACGATCATTGCGTAGACTTTTTGTCAGCTTGTGCATAGCTGCAACAGACGGTCGCCATTATCTGTCCTTTGAGCCACGATGCTATAGGATTCACCCAGGTGTCTTTCCCTTTCGTTTAGTTTACCTACTTGAGCATTAGTCATCAGCCACTATCATTATATCAGAGCGCTTAGCTTTTCGGAGAAGGTTGGAAAGCTTTCTAAAAAAACTCATCTTTTATAGCATATGAGCTGCAGTCAGTGGGAGAATAGGCAGAGACGATGAAGAGGCAATGACGAGTGTCCCTATCTTTTCGGATCCTTACTGTTCCGTTCAGTCGGACAGCGCACAAACGACTGTCTACTGGGATCCACTCTAAGAGAGCTAGTTCTGCCCTAGGACTCAATGCTAGTAAACACTCATTCTAAGCATAAGGAGAGACATCATCGAACATGGCGATCCCCTGCACCAAGCCAACGATGGATCATGTTGCTATCAGTCAACGTTGGAGAGGGTCGAAAGACTATTGTCGCTCATTCTAGAATACCTATTTGGACTCCGACCATGATCTTATACGGGCCCGCATTCGTTTGTGCCTCTCTGGACGCAGGAAAACCACACTAGGAAAACCGATTAGAGTCGAACTCAGTGACGAGGAAGCCAGAAGTAGATTTCAGGAACAACTGAGGTCACACTTAAAAAGTTCTGAAAACGAGGCTGACCCAGATGTTGCTTGGAAAGATATACGAACAGCTGTGGAAATAGCAACGACATGTGTTAGTAGTTTGAATTGAGGGGTTACGATAAACCAATGAATTTCTACTAAGTCTATTGCATTGATAGATTCTCGTAAACTCATCCCATCAGGTTCTGAACACGATGAAGTAAGAAAAAATCAGATCCACGTTAACCAAAGGTCTAACGAACAACCGTGAGGAGTGGTGGGCAATGAAAGCCAGAGATGGGAAAGACAGTGGCTGTAGGTACACAAGACAGCTTTTCAGATTAATAAAAGAATTCGCAATTAAGTGTAAGTGAGACAATCTCAGAAAAAGGCGACACTTATCTGCTCTCAGTCCAGATGTTTAGAACAATAGGCGGAACATTTTAAGGAGCGGTTCAGTTGACCTTCAACTGCCAACCATTTCCAAACAGCTTGAGTGGAACATTGAAACAAGCCCCCCGACTTTAGGAAAAAGCAAGAACAAAGATTCTAGCAGAATAGCATGAATTCATTTTATTTCGTAGGTTCTCGTCAGCTGCTTACAACCTGTGATATTTAAAAATCATAATTACATAATGGGTTTAAATTGCTTACTGAATATTGTAAATATATACCTAATGTGAAAGAATATTCTACAAGGTTAATTGTGACAACAGTTCAAAAGTGGGTTAGAAACAGTTGATTACATAATGAATGAACATTGATAGGAATATAGTGAGTAGAGTTCAGTTGCAAGATAGTTGAAAAAATAAAATAACATCAATGATGTAATAAATGAAAGACGGGACAGTCCAACGTTCAGTTTATAGAAAAAGTAATTGGAATGGCCTCTATCTAAATTTCAGTAGTTTTTGTCCAATTAGTTACAAGAAGGCATTGGTTAGAACACTATTTTACAGGGTTGAAAAGATATGTACCAACGACAAACTGGAAGAAGAATTAGTGTACGTAGAAAAATGTCTAAAAGACCACTTTTATCCACAAAAGTTTATTAACAAATATAAAAAGCCCAAAGAAAACAAGACGGGAATAACTACGGTCAATTAAAAGCCAGTATATATAAATCTTAACTTTAAAGGTGATAACGTCGCACAAATAATCAACAGGAGACTGAACACTGCTCTAGCCAGAACGTATTCAGCAGCTATAAATTTAACTCTCTATAAAACATGTTCAATAACCCAATCAAAGGTCGACAAGCAACCCTTTCATGTTACCGCCATCTGTATTTATAAATTTACGTGTACCTGCCAAAGCAGCTAAATCGGCCAAATTGAAAGGAGAGCATATCTTAGATTCTTTGAACATGTTCCAAAAAGTCTTAGAACAAGGGAAAGAAAGACTCTGAACAGTGCAATCACCAAACATCTCCTTGATACAGGACATCAGGTAGATACCTTACAATCCTTTAGGGTGATTAGTAAGTAGTCA